GGAAGTGATTTACACACTGGGATCAATTGAGCAATGACGAAAACGGATAGCCACGTGTCCTCCACTGGGGTAAGTCTTTACCATGACACATCATATTATTAACATAGATACTAATTAAGTGATTAGGTTTAAAATTAAACTCTGCTAGCAAGCTATGCATTTATGTTCCCATTAATTTCCTTATTTCCGTAGATCCCATTCTTAAATTTTAATTTAAAGTAATGTATCAACAGCATAACTTAACTCTAAATAATACACATATAGTGATTTCTTACCCTTACAATAATTTTAAAACTAACCCAGACCTTGGCGATATATTTTGCTATATAATTATACCTTTCAGGGTTTTATAATTTCAGCCAGAAGCTTAAAAGTCAGAGAAGGAGTCATTTCCGACCCTATAAATCATATATATTCTTGATCAGCATCAACAGCCGAGTCGATCTAGCTATCTTAAGAAGAAAAATAAAATTTTAAAATTTTTTCGAAATTATTTAAGGGGTTACATCATTAAAATTGTCAAAAATTTCATCAAAAATTCGAATTTTTTTCCATTTGAAATTGAGTATGCAGATTTCTTAATTTTATAAAAACTAGCACAAAACAGCTTTCCAAATTAAAATTAATGCATTTTTGGGTGAGTTATGCAATTTTTAAACTTTGATTGGTAAACAAATTTTCATATAAAAATATAGATAAAGATTGGTTTAAAAATTGTATTATAATTTCAGTCAGAAGCATAAAATGAAGTGAAGAAATTATTTCCGACCCTACAAATCATATATATTATTGATCAGCATTAACAGGCAAATCTTTCTAGCTATCTCCGGCCAAAAAAATTTTTTTTTTAGAAATCTTCCATTTTTTGCAAAAAAGGAAAGGCGTTGAAACTTTCCAAAATTGACCAAAAATTTTAAATTTGTTTAAATTTGAAATTAAGTATGCAGATTTACTAAACTAAAAATAACTAACATAGGACAGGCTTCCGATTTAAAATTAATGCATTTGTGGCTTAGCTATGAGACTTTAAAACTTATAAAAATAATTGCATAAGTTTATACCTATTCTTATACCTTGTGAGTTATGCATTTTTATACCCTCTTTTATTTTTATAGAGCTTCCATTTCAGTTTTATGAAAATCGGAATACTATATAATATATGTAACTGCCAGAGAAACGGTTGTTAAATGTAGATGATCAGTAAGTATCTTTCAAGATTTAATAACTATGATCAGTAATTAACTATGACCAGGAAGTATCTTTCAACAGTAAGTATCTATGATCATTAAGTATATATGATCATTAAGTATCTATGACCAGTAAGTATGTATGATTAGTTACTAACTTTGAACACTAATAAACAATGACTTGCAACTTTTGTAACACAACACGTATCTAAGACTTGGTCGGCAGCAGTCACTTCGTTCCGGGGATGTCAGAACCAGTTGGGAATCATATGCACAGATGTGCGAGATTTGTTTTGGAACAAATTTAGAAGCAAGCTATTTGAACGAAACTATGGAGTTTTTCTTCTATATAATTTTACTGGTAAATAAATCGGAGCATGCCGAATAGGTGGACTATATATATACATATATATAGCTGCCATAGGAAAAATCGGACGATTTATAGAACTATGATCAGTAATTAACTATGACCAGTAATTAACTACAATCAGTATGTTTCTATGAACATTAAGTTACTCTGAACAGTAAGTATCTATAATCAGAAGTATCTTTCAACAGTAAGTCTCTATATAAAGAAACTTTGACCAGGAAGTATCAATGCAAATTAAGTAACTCTGAACACTTATTAACTATGATCTGTAATTAACTTTGATCAGCAGGTTACTTTGGACACTAATCAACTTTGAACACTAATAAACAATGACTTGCAACTTTTGTAACACAACACGTATCTAAGACTTGGTCGGCAGCAGTCACTTCGTTCCGGGGATGTTAGAACGAGTTGGGAATCATATGCACAGATGTGCGGCATTTGTTTTGGAGCACATTTAAGAGCAAGCTATTTGAACGAAACTATGGAGTTTTTCTTCTATATAATTTTACTGGTAAATAAATCGGAGCATGCCGAATCGGTGGACTATATATAAATACATATATATAGCTGCCATAGGAACAATCGAACTATTAATAGAACTATGTTTAGTAATTAACTATGACCAGTAAGTAACTATGATCAGTGAGTAACTTTGATCAGTAATTAACTCTGAACAGTAAGTATCTATAATTAGAAGTATCTTTCAACAGTAAGTCTCTAAAGAAAGTAACTTTGACCAGGAAGTATCAATGCAAATTAAGTAACTCTGAACAGTTATTAACTATGATCAGTAATTAACTATGGACACTAACTTTATACACTAATAAACAATGACTTGCAACTTTTGTAACAACACATTTCTGAGACTTGGCCGGCAGCAGTCACTTCGTTCCGGGGATGTCAGAACCAGTTGGGAATCATATGCACAGATGTGCGAGATTTCTTTCGGAACAAATTTAAGTGCAAGCTACGAAACTATGGAGTTATTCTTCTATATAATTATACTAGTATATATATCTGAGCATGTCGAATCGGTTGACTATATATATACATATATATAGCTTGAATAGGAACAATCGGACGATTTATAGAACAAATATAATAACTTTTATAGTTAGTTATCAACATATCTTAATCTAATTTGAAACATTCATCCTTTATTATTATAGAATTTTGATATTAGTGTTATTAAAATCAGACTACAATATCCTATAGCTGCCATAGGAACGATCGAAAAAATAAGAAGAAAAATTATAATTTTTCCAGTTTTCAAAAGATTTTCATCAAATTTAATTCCGGTTTCCCGAAGTTGGTTTCCTCTACTTTTTATCATCTTTAAATTAACAAAAATTGAAACCATTGTAGGTGTTTCTGAAGATGATATGTGTAGCCCCCAACGAAATACCATATATCTTGTTGTTTTTAACTAAAATTGCATTTATTTAATCATACATCATTTAATTAAATTAAATTTTAGTGTTTAGCGATATCCCTCATTTGTCTCCTTGCCTTTTTTTTCATTTCTCAAACGTTAATTAAATCATAAATACTGCGAGTTAGATTACATTTTTATATGATATTTTTTATATACAGAAAACAAATTGGATTCCATTCTCTCTATCTCTCTTTCTTTTACTTTTTACAATTATTGAAAAAAAGAATAAAAATATTTGTAAGTTCCTACAAGAGACCGTTTTTTATATTATAAAAAATTCAATAAATAAACAAGCATAAAAACGAAAAAGATACATGTGGAAAAAAAACTTGAACGATTTACAGGGAAAACTTAACGAAAGCAAAGCCTAGAAACGAGTTGAAACAAGTTGTGACATTTGGACAGTTTAGTAATCGATACTTAAGGGGGTAGACCACCCTGACATTTTTTAAAAATGTAATTTTTTTTTTTAATCAATCTTGATGCTGATATTCTTACGGTCATTTTAAGACATCGGGCTTAAAAATATCTCGTTACTTGTGGATTCTACAGCCATTAGAAGTGAGCGCTGCCGGTATACCGTAGAGTACTTTCTTTATCTTCTTTTGCGTTTTTCTCAAAACAACGTTTTTTAAAACGGTGTACATAATTTCTCAAAAACCGCCGGACCGATTCTCTTCAAATTTTTTACACAGCTTCTCTATAATGCCCTCTATGGCATGACGTAGGATTTTTTCGATATGTTTTTTTGTTTTAAAGTTAAAAATTTAAAAATCAAAAATTTTGTTAAAAAAAAAATTTTTTTTTTCAAAGTGCTCCCATTTGCTCAAAAAAATTATTTCCAAAAACGGCTACGTCATGCTATAGCCATACTTATATAGCTTATAAAAATTTTTGTTTTTGAATTTCGGATAACAAATGTGGTGTGCAGCATGTACACCATCCGACCATTCCCTAAAAAAAATTCGTTTTTTGACTGGCTATATCTCCGAGGTTCGTAAATATTTTTTTTCTTTCAATAAGTATTTTTTAGTTTAACATATGTACTTTGATGTACTAATAAATAAAAGTTGTATTCCCAATAACTTAGTCAAAATGAATTTTTGAAAAACCCTCCAAATTTCATGCGTTCAGGGTGGTCTACCCCCTTAATCGATATTGAATCGATTCTTTTTAGTTGTAGTTGTAGTTTTTTTTAGTTGTTTTGAATTGCTTGCAAAAATCACACGCAGTTTGGATATTCAGGCAGGAGAAACTCTGATATTTAGCTTCTCCCGCAGTGGTTATTTCTTTTTATTACTATTATTTTAAATTGAATTGAACGCCCATATGGGGCTGCACACTACCATTATCTTTTTATATTTTTTAAAACGCAATTAAGTGGTTTTCCAACTGAATGTCCTGTATGTCTGCGTGTGTGTGTGTGTGCTGATTGAATTTTACAAATTTTTTACCATTTCTAGCGCCTTTTTTTATGTACAATTTTGGAGAGCATTAATTTATTCTCGTGTCTGTGTAATATAAATATATATCTTTATATCTATATATAATGTGTATATATAGAGTGTATAATTTATAGAAACGTATAGCTAACAATATATAACTTTGCACTTAAAAGTTTGGTTAGTATTTAAATTTGTTTTTTGTGTGGTTTTTCCTCATTTTTAAGTTTTAATGTTTTTTGTTTTGGTTTTTTTTTCGCGGTTTGTTTTGTTTTTGTCGTTTTCATTTTGTTTTTCTTCAGTTTAAATTATGCATTAAAACTAGAATTTCTTTTTGTTACTTTCTGTTCTTTTCGATAAATCACAATTATTAATTAATATTATAATTATATTAATTTTTTTTGCAGTGTTTTTGTGTGTTTTATGGTTTTTTGTATGGTTTTCTTTTGCTTTTTTGCTTTTGCTTTTGCTTTTCGTGGTTACTGCTGAGAAATGAATTAAGCTAGAATCTGTCGTGGTTGTCTGTCTGTTCCTGGCGGGTCCTTCACACCAAACTATATATATGAATATGAATCTTCTGCTGCTTCTCCTCCTCTTCTCTGGTTTCTCTCGGTGTTTGCTGCTCTCCTACTTTGCCTGCTGCCGCTGCGGAACCTGCTCCTGCTCCTGTTCCTGCTCCAGTATGGGCTTGGGTTGGGGGGAATCGGACCCAGGGCTTCGTCCTGCCTGGTCTACTGGCTCACCCGGCACTCCTGGCTCTCCCATCTCTGCTGGCTGTTCTGGAGACAATGGGACATGGTCCAACGACGACTGCTGAAGCGCATGGGCACTGGGTGCACTGCCGCCGGTGGATTGTGCCACCCGATTGGCGGCATACAGATGCCACAGCACCACGAGGCTAAAGACGCACAGCAAACAAATCGCTAATTCTTATCTCTTGCGTCGCTTTGTCTTCTTCTTTGTGGCACTCGGCGGGCTGGTCACGCCCACCGAGGTGACGCCACCAGTGCCGCCAACACCGACTCCACCTCCTTCGGCATTGGTCAGGCTCGAGGAGGCAGCATTGCCTCCGGAACTAGCACCCAAGCCGGAGCCAATGGCTCCGCCAGAGGCACTGCTCGAAGGCAAACCAAGGCCCAGGCCTGTGGTATCCGGATGTAGCGTCGTCTCCACGCTACTCTCCTCCGCCGAGGATGTGGACGACGAGGTGGCCGCCTCTATGGCCGCAATTAGATTAATCTTGTGCTCCAGCTTCTTGGTCTTGAGCTTGTGCGGTGCGGCACTGCTGACGGATGAGGACTGCTGGCCGTAGGTCAGATTGTCATCGGATGTGGTGGCCGGCACGGGCCCCTCGCTGTCCGTTGTAACAGCCAGGGCCGCACCACTGCTGCCAAAATGCAGCAGATCCTCGGGCAGTGATTGCTCCGGCTCCTCGAGCTGCCCCAGTTCCAGCTCCAGCTCTAGATCCTTTTCCCGCTCGTCATCATCACCCGAGAGGGTTTTGGCCAGCTTTTGCATCTCCACTTGGGAATCGCACATGCTGATGCTGATCAGCGGACGCAGTTCCTCATCATCTGGCTCCCTTTCGCGATCCCGCTGCTGCTGCTGCAACTGGAGTTGCTTCAGTCGTTTGTGCTTCTTGCTCAGCTTCTTGGCGGGTCCCTCCATGATGACAATTTCCTCGGAACCCGACGAGTTGTTCGATGTGGAGGTGGACTTTTGCAGGGATGACAATGAAATCGCTTCCAGGGGTATGTAGCTCTGTTCCTCTGGCTCCGGTTCTGGTTCCTCTGGTTCTGGCTCTGGTTCGGTTACCAGCAGCTCCGTCCCGGTCTCCCGGAGCCGCTCCTGCTCGTTCTCATAGTGCAGGGAACCGCAGAGCGCCAGGATCAGGTTCTGTTCGGTAAAGCCCCGTGGTGGTGGCGATATCCGCCTCGGAATAGCGGCATTCTCCTGCAACGGACTCTCGAAATTAATGAGACTTAGCTGCGTTGGCTCCGCATCCCTCTTCGACGACGACTCCGCCACCTCCTGGACTTCAAGTGGCTCCAGGGCTGGCAGTGGGGGCAGCTCTTCAAGTGGCTTCAGGCCGCTGAGAAAGTCTTCGAAGTTGTCCTTCACCGAGGAGGAGCGGGAAGTTGTTCCAGTCGGCTTTGGCTCCTCTTTCGGGGGCGTAACCAATCCTGGGAGCAATTTCTCATCTCGCTTCTTCTCCGGACTCGACTTGCCGGCTGCCTTGCCCAGACTGGGATAGTCCTGGACAGCAGCAGAGAGCTGCTTGGGGGTTGGTACGACCTCCGTGACAATCTTCCAAGGACTGGGAATCGGAGGAGTTGGTTTCGAGATGGATACAGGTGCTGCTGCTGGTGCTGGTTCCTCCACCACCTTTACCACATAGCTTGTGGGTGGAGGAGTAACCGATGAGGACTTCTCCAAGAGTTTTTCCTTTTCGGAAAGCTTTGCCTTTTCCAGCGGCTTCTCCTTTTCGAGTGTCTTTTCCTTCTCGAGAGATTTGTCGCTTGGTTTCTCCTTCTCTGTGGCTTTTACCTTCTCACCGGGTTTTAATTTCTCCAAGGGTTTCTCCCTCTCTACAGGTTTCTCCTTCTCTATAGGTTTCTCCTTCTCTGGGGATTTCTCCTTGACTGGCTCCGGTTTCTCTTTCTGTTGAGTGAACTTCTCCTTCGCGTCCTTCATCTCCTTCTTTCCGTTGTCCACGGGTGCTACAGTTCTGATTTCTTCCTTAACAGGAGCTTCGCTCTTTTTTCTGAGCGCCTCCTTTGCCTCCTGACTCTTGGTTTCAGCACCCTTCTTGTCCAGATTCGGATTCTCCTTTGGCTTCTTGCCCCCTGTCTCTGGTTTTGCCTTTTTGGAACTCTCGTTCACCTTCTTCTTGGTATCATCAGAGGACGCCTCTTCTGTTTTGGGTGGCAATTTAACCGTAACTACAGGTTCCTCGGAAGTGAAAATGTCCACTGGCTGGACACTCTGCACCGGCTTTAAAATCTTTTCTGGCTCCGGATTCCTTGGCTTCTCTTTCGTGTTCGGTGTTCGAGTAGGTTTTCCTACAGGCAGCTCTTGAACTTGAGGCTTCTCCTGCTTCTTGTTTAGCTTCACCTCTAGCTGCTCCTGCTCCTCGCAATCCTGCTGCTGCTCCTCCTCCTCCGGCTCCTCCTCGTCTTCTGCATTTGTAGTACACGTCTCCACATGCAGGCTCAAGCCCTGGGCACTGGCACTGCTCACCATTACGGCGGCAATGCTTCGCTTGTTGGCCAGCAAGCTATCAGCATGATCTGATTCCAGATCGGAGTCCAGCACCTGCTCTGGTTCTACCTCCAGTTCTGGTTCTGGCTCTGGCTCTGGCTCCGGCTCTGGACTCTTCCGCTTCTCCACTATAATCGCTGTCTCGGTGACTTTCCCGCTGGCTTTTGGCTGCTTGTTGTTGCCACCCTTGGTCTTCTTGGAGGATGATTTGCCACTGGCTATGGCTGGAGCACTCTCGTCCTCGGAGGTGCAACTTCCGCTCTTCTGGCTGGCAGTTTTATTGTTGTTGTTGCCCTTTGGCTTGTTGAGATGCGATAACTCGGCGAATTTCTGGGCTTGAGCTGCATCTTCGGCAGCGGCCAGAGAACGGAGAGACTTCTGCTGCTGTTGATGCTGCTGTTGCTGCTGCTGCTGTTGCTGCTGGTGTTGCTGCTGCTGCTGCGCCTTGTGCGATTGCTTCTGCGACTTTTGCTTCTCCTTCTGGACCAACACCTCGTCCACTTCCTTGGCAATCACAGGAACAATTAGCTTATTGGCCAGCACCACCGGCGGCTGACAGTTGGCAGCCTGCTCTGGGTTATCATCCCGATTGCGTTGGAGCAACTTTTGACGTTCAGTGGGATCATTGCAAAAAATGGCCACCACTGGACGGAAGAGAGCCTCGTCACAGTTCTCATGGATGACGGTATCCTCGGCGGCCAGCTGACCCACCACCTCGTCCAGCATATCCGTTTGCAGTTCACCGGAAATGCCCGCATTGAGATCGGTGACCGTTCCCAAGGGATTCACCATTTTCTCTACACGCGAATAGCTGCAAATGTTGGGCAAAACGGAGGCCAGAGCGGAAATCGTTGATGATCCAGAGTCCATGTGCTGCATTGCCTCCTCCGTATCCTCCGAATCGTCCAGCTCGTTAAGGCTCTCGTGCTCGGCGAGGGCATCGTAATAGCAGGCATTATCACAGGTCGAGGCGGTGGCTGTGGGTGCCGTCGTCGTCGCTGCCTCCAAGGAAGCCAGCGGCGAGGAAGTCAAGCCTGCAGCAGTGGCAGCACCAGCACCACCAGCAGCAGCAGGATCTCCGCATGAAGGAGCCTGGTGATCTGCTTCGAAGATAGAGGCGAAGGCGGACGGGTCAACAAACGGTGGGCGGTCACGGTGGACACGGAACACAGAGCGGAGAATAAACGAGAAATAGAAGAAGAAGAGAAAACAAATTATGAGAAAAGCGCATTTGTTTTTTTTTACATTTCTTTCATCTTTGGTTCGTACAGGAAACAAAAAACAAAAAGCCAAAAGCGAGTTTTTTGGATCTTGATTTGGATCTTGATTCGAAAATGTTTAATTTGCATTTGATTTTTGTTTGTCTTTTGTTTTATTGTTTTTTCTTTCTCTCTCTCTGTAGCTTCTGTTTTTATTTTATTTTTTAAATATTATAATTATACAACAAAAAAAAACTAAGTTCTTTAGCAGTTGATCGATTGAAAAGGAAGCGGAAAACACTCAAAACAATTAAAAGAAAAATTCGAACGTGGAACAGAAAATAAATAAATAAACTTTGTAAAAACGAAAACGATATTTTTTAAAACTCTTTTACGTTTTTTTAGTGTGAAATAAATTAACGAAAAGAAATTAAAGTTAAGAAAATAGCGTGACAAGACACGATGTTTTTTATTTTGATTTCTATTATATTGGAGTTATTCTTTTTTGTTTGGGAAATAAACATAAGAAACTGGAGAATTTGTATATTTGTGAATATCGTTATCGAAATTTGAATGGCTTTGGCTTTTTATTAGAAGATTCATGTAGATTAATGTGCTCTTTCCTCTCAATCGTTCTCTCTCTCTCGCTCTATCTTTCTCTCTCGCTCTTGTTCTCTCTCCCATCTCACTCGCCCTCAGTCACTCAACAAAGGCTATCTCACTCGCACGTGCAATGATACTTTTTTTCGCAGAAGAATTGGTTTTGATTTTTTTGGTAAATTAAAAGTTGATGAAACAAATCACAAGAGACAGGGGACAAACAAGGAAAGAACCCGTAGAAGGAGAGCCTTGCAGAAGAATAGGGAAAGGATTAAGCGAATGGAGCGTTGCCAGGCATCAATAAATTGATAATCCTTACGCCAAGCAAGTGTGGTGAAAAGGATGCAAGCGTCTGGTGAATTAGATTAGGGGATGGTGAGCAGTGTAAGCCGTAAGGACAAACCAGGCTATAGATCAAGATCAATTGGATAAACCCGATGAAATTCCTAAGATAATGTTGAAAAAGCGAGCTGTGGTATTAAGGGAGAATTCAATTTCGGGGGAGCTTCGTAAGGGTTATTTTCTTTCATTATTTCTTGTTAAGAAGGATATTTGCTGTGTCAAAAATGTAGTTAGCTTAAATTTAGTTGCAATAAAATAGAAATATATCACAATTTATTGGGCTGGACAAAAAACACCAAAGAAAATTTTGTTGTTAAGTTATTGCTTAAGCGATGTATTTCGGCTATGAAAAAAAATCAAGGAAGAAAAGTTCAACAACAACTGAAAGTTCAAAAACACCAACACACCAGGCTTTACACCACAAAAAAAAAACACGCACACACACACGGAGTGGGGAAAGTGAAATGGTAGAGAAATGGAGTTATGAAAGAATCATGCAAAAGTGAAAGTGAGAGGAGGGAAATTGATGGATATTACATCATCATCATCATCATAAGTATCATTATCATATTTCATCATTATCATTATCAACAACCAATGCCAATTTCGTGGTGTTTCATTATCAACATTAAAATATAACCTTTTCATTCTTTTCACCAAAAATATTTGGAATTAAACATTTTCGTTTCGAAAGCGTTCGAACTTAAACAACATAAGAAATATATATTGTATGTATTTGTATTGTATGTATGTGTGTTTCCAAAACAAAAACAAAAAATTTAACATAAAGTTAAATAAAAAGGAATCAAAATAATAGATAAAACAATACACAAATGTCTTAAAGATAGTAAACAATTTATAAAAAAATAGAAGAGAATTGTGAAGACATCGAAGAAACCGGCTAACCAAAGACCTTATAATAACAATATGAGTAACGCCAGATTAATTTTTGGACTGGCTTTAAGCGATGTATCTAGAAATTTAAGAGTTTTAAGCTCTAAAGTTTGCTAGATGTATGGTCGTTATGCATGTTATTATTATAAGGCGTATAAGCTAACAACTCTTTGCTGGGGTCTTTCAGTTGGGCACAGATCCATCCGCCACCAAACAAGATCCTAGCTCCACATGACCCCAGCCAGAGAATATTATCACCGGCGGCTAGCTAGCATTCAAATGGTCTTGCACAACATGCGATATTAAGGAGCTCGGATTGGATTTACTATGGATCACCACTTACCCGTTGTCTCACGCCGTGCAGCAGCTGTCGAGGGTGATTCACGCATGGCATCCGCTAGATCCTCCTTGAGACGAGTGTCCCCATGCCCGTAGTCCGAATCCAAGTGGCCATGTCGGAAGCGATCCATCAACTTGGGACTCTGCTCTATGCTGCCTATTATTCATAATGATATATATTGGTTAAGTCTTCAATTCCGAATCCATTTCGTTTGCTTTCACTTACTGTACGATCCCGATTCGATGAGCACTGGCACGCCGGATCCACTGCGACCGGTCATCGCCGACGAGCCCCCGATGCCAGCTGCTCCCACCGAAGTGGCGGCACTTAAAGGCATATTCAACGGACTGGATCGATCCTTGACTCCACCCACGCCCAGCGCACCTGGTCCCAATGCTGAGGCATTAGCTGCCGTCGAGGGCAAAGTGGTGGTTGAAGTCTTGGTGACGCCAATCTCCACTGCCTCGGCATCCACATGGTTTAGATTGGAACTAAGGAAACATAATTTTATATAGATCCTGATAATTATATTAAAGCCATATTCCTTACCCGCTGGGCGTATTATAGTTCTTAAAGACGAACTGCGGCCCCATCCACAAACGGCGATGGGGACCTGCGTGCGTTATGATCTCCACCTGGGCCAGCCAGCTCTCGGCCCGCTCGTCCGGCTCGTCGAATTGATGGGCGCTGTCCAGCAGCAGGCTGGCATGGCGGTCCTTGATCAGCCAATTGTCCAGCCCCAGCGGTGGTATGATTTCTTGAGATCCATCCTTGCGTCGCCCCAGATTCCACTGGGCACGTGCCTCCACCTCCAGCTCGATGGGCGTGTCATCACATATCTTCTCTTTGGCAACATCTGTAATGGAAAAATTAATGTCAGCTAAAGATTAGGACGAAGATATGGTGATGCACTCACTTGAGGCTAGCTTCGTATCCAGATCATACTGGATAAGCGCCCCGTGGCCGGCCATTACGAAGAGCGAGTCGACCGCCTTGCGCTGGACGCGATGCGGCTGCTCTCGTGTCGCCATCGGTGGCTCCAGTAGCCAAGATCTCGACTTGGCAAAGATGGAGCATACGCTCAGCGGCTTGCCGCTGTCATCCGACAGCGAGGACAGACGCTGTCGCTGCCGTTGGCTGCTGCTGCCGCCACCGCCAACGCCTCCATGAACGCCAGAACTTATTCCACCGCCCATGCTGCCGACGCCACCGCCTCCACCTCCTCCTCCTCCCGATCCTAAGCCCGCTGATCCTGGCGGTGATCCCAATGTGAAGGGCTGTCGCAGCTGAGCCAATGGCTGCACCACCGCCGGCCGTGGATACGGCGGCAATGTGGGATTATGGTACGGCTGCAGTGACTGCACAAATGTCGTGCTCTCCGAGTGCGAAATCGGTGAGCTGGAGCGACCATCCGCTCCCAAGCCGGCGCTCCTATGGAACCTGGACAGCTTGTTCACCACATGCAGCGAGGTGTGCGTACGCACGCCCATGGCGCCGCCGTAGGGCGTTATGGGGAAGACGTGGGTAGTGCCACGCAGCGTGGAGACGGCCACCCAACGCGAGTCCAGCGAGAAGGCAATGTGCTGCACTTTGGCGCTGGTATCACCGCGATGCAGCACATACAGATGATGTACGGCGGCCAGGCTAGGACCCACCGGATGCGGTTGGATGCGGAACACATGGAAATCATGGCCACGCCGATCGGCAGTGAGCAGCAGCATGCCCGAGCTGTCAAACTCCATGGCCACCAGTGCCTCGCTATGGGCCAGAAAGTGTGCGACAATCGGATCACCGGCCGCCTGTGAGCCGCCCGTTGAGCTCAGAGGTGTGCCCGACGTGGGGCTATAATCCTTCACCGGATGCTGTACGGAAGAGTATCCATTAAAGATCAAATAGTGGCTTCAGTTGGCTGAAAATCATGGAAACTCACCTTCACATCGATGATGGTAACAACGCCCGACTGCTTGGCATCCGGGCCGCCGCTGGCCGAATCGAAGCTGCTACTCTTAGAGCTGGCGCCGCTGCCGGCTGTGGTACCAGTCAATCCGGCGGCCACCTGCTCGCCCAGTTCGCGCAGCCCTTTGCCAAGGGACTTGGCCGCATTGAGCACTGTTGCCGTATAGCTGGGCACGCCCTCGCCGTCACATCCGCCGCCACTGCGCTTGGAGTGCAACAGCTTGTGCTCCGCGTATGCCAGCCAGCGTGGACCAAGCGCAATGGGATTAGGATTAATCCTGCAAGCAGGAGCCACAACAAATAAGTATTTCTCTTTGAAAATCAACAAGATTAATACTCACCCCGGACTGGGATAGCAGGTGGTAATGGTTAGACGGTCCTCCAGTGTCCTGGCATCGAAGACGGCTATCCGTTCGTGGAACGTAATGACCACCGCCGATCTGTTCGCCTGGATGTCCAGCACGGCGTTCTTGAACTTGATCGTCTTGACCTGGACACCAGTTTTCAGCGACAGAAAGTTCACGGCACTGAATTGAGCGGATGCCGAAACGGCACCACTGCCGCCACCTCCAATGCCGCCGGAGCCACCGACTGTGTTGATTCCGCCGCCGCCGCCCATGCCCATTCCGGAATTGCCAGCAAGGAGACCACTGGCCGCTGCACTGCCACCATCGACAAGAGCCACCAGGGGACGCTTCTCTGCGAAGGCATCGACGGGCTCATCTGCCCGGCCGTTCTCGTCCAGAGCTGCTGCCGTCGCCGGTGTGGGTAAGACTCGCAGGGCAGTGACGACACCGTGACGCCACGATAGCACCTCCACGGCTTCACCGTTCGCGGGTATGGCCCAAACCTGGACGCCCAGTCCGTAGCCGAGGATCAGAAGCAGCGGTGGTGCCGCATTTCCCTCTAGCTCCCAGTCGTCGCCGAAACGTGGATCGCTGACATCCGCACATGTCTCGAATCGGGCCCAGGTGATGGTGTCCTTGGGATCCTGAACCGGCTGATTGGCCAAGGTCACATCGTTGATGAAACCAATGGCCGAGTCCAGAATGGAGCGATCCGACACGGTCTGCGGCGGCACAATGGCGGGCAGCGTACCCGTTCTCGAGCCAGAACCGGAGACATGACCGTGATTGGAACCGGAACCCGATCCGGAGACGGAAGAGCCCTGTCCAAGGCCGGAACCGACCACGCCGGTGGGATGGCGGCGTGGAGAGTCCGCGGACATGATACGGCGGCGGTTGCTGGGCGGTTAGCTCCTGAATCGCTCCTCTCTAGCTGCTACCACAGCTGCTGCCAATGATGCAGTGCCTCCACACTGGAGGACAGGGGGGCTGGCAGTGGGTGTGTGTTTGTGTATATAGGGGGGGGAAGGAGGTTGTTTGGCAGTCTTGCTCCCGCTCTTATTTCGCTCACTGTTCTGGCTCTCCCGGAGACACTGCGTCTGGGATCGAATCTGTCGCCTCTTTTTCTCCGCTTTCGCCGCTCTTTCGCTCTGTTGTCAACTGCAAATAGAAAGCAAAAGAGAGTAAATAAACAAATAGATCTATCACTAACACATGCACTGTTACAAAACGTTCTCTCTTTTGGGGTGAACCCTGATTAGAAGAAATTCTGTATATCAATTATGGCAGAATTTATTTGATACATATAAACAATGCTCCAAGGCTCTTATTACGTCGAAGTTCGAACCCCCTTTAAAGTGCTTGCACAAAAGAAATACAGTGTGTCTAGTCATTTTTAATATCTTGACAAAACAAAGAAAAAAAACAGTCAGAACGAACATGGTGAAATATAAACTATGAGGTCATAATATGGAACCTGCGTTTAACATCATATGATGAAAATAAAATAAAATAACCAATACAAAAAATTTTAAAAGCTTTTTTTTAGGGAATACATATATCCAATGATGCCAACTGTGATTTTAGATCCCCAAAGGTTCACCCTAATGCGCACATTTCATAGTTTCTTTTGGTCATTCCATTTCGTTCCGTTTTGTTTTCCCTTTGTCTCAATCAAACTGCTTTAATCTTTGCACGGAGCCACCCCCCACTGCCCTGCCCCTGCCCCAACACCACCCTCCCCCTCGATCTCATTACTTCTCTTACCAATTTATTAGCGAATTCCGTGTATTTTCAGCTTTGCATTACTTTCTCGGTTGTGCCCCTGCTTCTTTTGTCAATTTCAGTTTAATGGGGCGTAAATTAAGTGCAATAAAACAACAACAGTCGCAACGAATAATGGTTACAAATGTAACGTAACAATCTACGCAAAACTAAAACAATATTTGTTGATGTTTTTCACTTTTTGTATTGAAAACACAAAGGTAAACGAAAAACAAGCTCTAAGCAACAACAAAAAACCTCAAAGTCACGCAGATATCATCAGACCATTTGTTTTTGCATTAGCTTCTTGTTTTCGCCTTCTTTATGTGGTTGATGTTCGCCAGCATCGAACAAGGGGCACAGCGGAATGCAATATGCAAAAAAAAAAACAAAGTGGCTAGCAATCAGTTTTTCTTTGCTTCTGCAAATAAGCGTTTAAGCCATCTTCTTCGTCCTCTTGAAAGGAAAGGAAGGCTAAAGCAACAGTTGGTCAGTAATAAAAAAAATAAATACATAAATACATACACACATATGTACATATGTACATACTTGTTTATATTTTCCCCATTCTCCAATACATAACCTTAATGATAGAATGACTGCCTCTATTATTCATTCTTAAGTCAAAAAAAAACTTTAATAATGATTATTATTAAAATGAACTGAAAACCAAGAAAGAAAATTAATTTCATACATACAAATGTATATAACTTTGCAATTGAATTATAGGTTTGTATCGGAAATCATTCATAACTAATCTAACTAAGCTTTATTTATATTTTTATATGACAATTTGTTGTACAAGTCAAAATTTAAAAAACTCATAACTAAGCCAAAAAGGCATTAATTTTGATTCGGAAAGCTGCCCTAAGTTCGATTTTTTTAGGTTAATAAATCTGCATACTCAATTAAAATTTAAAAAAACATTTAATTTTTTCGAATTTTTTAAATATTAAACCCCTTTTCCTTACAAAAAAAAAATGAAAAAACTTCGAAAATTTTTTTGTTCTCCCAGAGATGGCTAGAAAGATTCGCCTGTTGATGCTGATCCAGAAGATATATAATTTATAGGGTCGGAAATGATTCTTTCACTGAGTTTTAGGCTTTTGACTAAAATTATAATCCCCTGATAGGGTATAATAAACTATTAAACAGTTACAGAGAAAAATAAAACTGAATAATCACTTCAAACAATTTAATAATAATAAAATAACATGAAGTTAAAATTTTATTACAAGAAGAGAAATGGAGCCTGCCTTTTACACACATTTCTATCACATTAACTGTTAATAATTCTAGCCAATTCAGAGAACAACTACTCAATGATTCCCTTAGCTTCGATTTTCTGCAAATGCATTTTGCGAAACTTTTCCACGTGTGATGGCAATTGATTATATTTCACCACACAAGTCCCGTTTTCGTATAGATAGAAATGAGGTAATTAACAAGCACGATTATATACACATACTATATGCACATGGAATTGCAATTGGCAGAAGATAAGACACGAAGTCGTGCTGTAAAAGGCGTAATGATTCAATTAAACGCTAGTAAAAATTTGCAATATTCTGGCAAAGAATTTTACAAGTGAAAAGAACTCAACTTTACTTGAAAGAACTCAAAATTCCTAAGACATTATTGTTACTTGGGGACGGGGGGTTTAATAATCAGTGGGGCGGGCTTAAAGGTTAAGCCTAAAAACAGTATCACAAAACAGAAGATGGGAAGGGGAGGGGGAGGAGGAGGAGGAGGAGGAGGAGGAGGAGGAGGAGGAGGAGGAGGAGGAGGAGGAGGAGGCATATGCATACGCTGCATTCCTCAATTGGCTTGACACACGCGCAACAAAAACAAAAACAAAAACAAAACCTATAATATCAACAAGCAATGTCACACACACACTCACACCCACAACAAATACTGGTGCGCAAGCAAGAGCGTTCCATCTTCCGCCCCCTCAGAGCCCCACTTACCCAGTACCAACCGCCTCTCTTTCGCTCTCACCTTATGCGACATCAGTAACGCATTTGTCTTTGTTTAGCAATAGGCAACCCAAATGGCATAAATTCATTTGTGGGAGTGCAACAAGGACAGAAAGGTTGAGAGAAAGAGCCCCAACTCAATGTTAATACAGTTAAAACTTTGTGTATGCGTATTTAACTAAACATTCAAATTATAGGTCATATACATAAACTACTTTAAATAACGCAAGAAATAAGTACACTAGGTGAAGTACACTTAAAGAGTGAATTAAAATGACAATAAATAATATATTAACTTTGCGATATATTCACTTTAACGAATGGCCACTGTGGGAGCAACTAGCAGCTGGCCTCTCACTGGTTTACACGTACCCTTGACACTTGATCAATTCCAGAACAAGTTCAAATGGGAACTCGGCCAACGCATGAACGAGACGACCAAGCTCAAGTTCGCTGCAATTTCTTTATGCAAGAATGAGGGGGGCAGCGGGAGCAAAAGCATACGTAGATAAAAGAGAGACCCCAAAATAGAGTGCACATGTGTGTGTGTGTGTGTGTTTGTGTGTGTTTTGTCTGTTGAGTAGTGTGCTGCTTTTTGTTGTTGGGGCTCTCATTGTTTATGCTGGCCATTGCCAAAAGACACTTGACAAAAAAATCGGATTTTTATTTTGTCCCCATCATTTTCGGCACAACAATAGCTCACACACGAGTTCACACTGCGAACAGGTGTTACTCAAAATACACACACAAAGACAGAGCTTGAGTATCAGACATGCAAAATCAAATAAAATAAAAATCGAAATTAATAAAAATTGTTTCAGGTCGTGATACAGCGTATCGTCGAAACGGATTCTACAAGGCACAAGTTCATCAACCCACACACAGCTGATTATTCTCGCTTGATTAGGGCCGAATAATTATTTTCTATTGAGACTACCAGATTGAGAAACACTTTCCACATAGTATCAATCACACCCCCCGAAACAAACACACAGCCGCAACTGATAAGACAGTCGCGACCCATCCCCCAACCTCTGACAGTCCTTGGGAGCGAACAAAGGAACCTCGCTTCTCCCCAGCAGCGGATAAAACAAATCTATGTGTCAATAGACCACCAAACGAACGAACCTCTTTGTTGCTGCATACCTAAGATTAACGTAAACTGCAATAAAATGTTCGTACTACATTCTTTTTATGTTTTTCATAATCAAAAATATATATTTTAAAAACAGAGAGAGCTTGTAGTCGATTTAAAGTGTAAATTGTTAATAACACAAACAAGGAAAAGCGGGACAAACCTATGGATCTTTATCATTGCTAATTAAGTAGCTTCACAATTCACAATTTATTATAATTGTTTATAATTTTATTTTAATTGTTTTAAAAAAAAAACATTAATTTTATTTCGGAAAGGTGCCCTATGTTCGTTTTTAGTAGGTTAATAAATCTGCATACTCCATTTAAAATGTAAAAAAATGACAATTTTTATCAATTTTTTTTTAACGATGTAACCCCTTATCTTTTTTGAAAAAATTTCGAACATTTTTTGATTCCGCCTGAGATGGCTAGATCGACTCGCCTGTTTCTCCTGATCATGAATATATTTGATTTATAGAGTCGAAAATGACTCCTTCACTGCTTTTTAAGCTTCAGACTAAAATTATAATACCCTTCGAGGGTGTAAAAAATAGAACGTAAATATTACTACAAACAATATTCCTTTCGTAAAATCAAAGTATTGGTTCATTGTGAAGAATTTTTACTGTAGTGCTGACATGGGGGAATGCAATTTTCATTTTTTTGTGTTTTCATTCGGTTCTTGTTTCTGTGTTTCTGCTTATTGTCAATGCCACCCACCGCCGCCTCCCACTCGCCCAAACATTCCCCCGCCCCTCTTACAATCAAGTTGGCAGATTTTTTGGCAAACATTTCTATTAGGTAAATCACAAAGGAGAGGAAGGCAATTGAAAAATGCCACTTTTGATGTGCGTTTTAATTTGTAAATGAAGCGACAATGAAAACACAATATAATTTGTGTCATCCAAATATTTTTTTTGTTTTTTTTTTTTTGATTACTCGACGGCCGTTGTTGTTGCTTTCGCATACATTTTAGAAAACAAAGAGCCAAAACTTGGAGCAATTATCAAAATATGTACAGAAGTCAAAAAGCAAGAGAGAGAGAGAGCTAGAGCGAGACAGGCTGTGAAAGAGAGACCAAAATGAAAACAAAAATCTAACACAGATGCAATAGAATGCACACAAATGCATTGGCAGCAACTCAGCTGCAACGAAATTTTGTTGTTCTCTCGCACACTTACAGCATCGCACAGTGGTTTGAAATCTAAGAGCTTTAATAAACGCAACTCAAAGGGCAAACAACAAAAATTAATATGAATTTATATTATGTTTTTCTTTAAACATTTTTAAAGGGTTTAAAGTAAATTGCAAGCTCAACAAACACTATTTTCATTATATATGAAGTCCACATAAAACGAATTATAATCACTTTTTCCTTTTCTCATTCCACTGTGTTCACTATCAGTTCGTTCCTTTAGTTTCAGTCCGTTTCCACCGTTTTGTTGTTGCCCGTCTAATGCGCACATACACGTACATATAGATTCCGTTGGCCTGTGTGCGTGAGAAGAGGGGGGCGAGTGAGAAAGAGCAAGCGAGTGTATCTGTGTGATTTTTTCCCCCTTCATTGTTTGTGTTTTGAAATTATATATTTTTTTCGCGTCACAGGCCAAAACAAAATTTCCACTACTTTTGACATTTAAATAACAGCAAATAACTTTGTTTTAGCTCTCTTGCACTCTCCCTCTTTCTCTCTCAGTCGAGAGTTTCTTTTCCGTTCTTCTGCTCTATTCTTTGGCTCTTTGTTTGCACAATTTACACGTCTGTGATTTCGACAGAGCAACAATAAACAAATAGTTGCATAAATGGAGGTTGTTTTTTGTGTTTTTTTTTACCCAAGTTCCATCGTACGATTTCGATTTCGTATATACACGATTTTTAATTTTTTTTGCGCGTCAAACAAAAACAACAGCTAGAAGAAGAAGAACTTACCACTTGCGTTGTTGTTTCTGTTCCGTTGGTTGAATCAGCCAGCAGCTGAAGCACAACAACAGCAACAAATGCCACTCGTTCCTGTCGCTCCTCGCGTTCCGCCTTCTCACTCGTTCCGCAGAGCGCGCGCAAAAACAACAACACAAACAAAAATCATATGTTTTCAGCTGCTGCTCTCTCGCTCTCTTTTTGGCTTTTGTTTTTGTTTTTTACTTTTGCCTTTGTGTTGTTGATTTCCTTTTTGGTGTTGCTTTTGGTGGAGCCTCTCTTTTATTATTATTTGTGTTACTTATATTACTTCTGTTCTGTTTCGTTGCAGGCGGCAGCAGCAGCAACAATCTCAAACTGCGTTTTGCTTTTTCCTCTTATCCTTCTCTTGCCTCTTCCGTTTTCTACTTCTTTTTCCTTTCCGCCTTTGCCACGCCCTCCGATTAGAGTGTTATGGGCTTAATTCTCTGCTTTTCTACGGCTTTGCGAACTCCCTTCTTCAAGTTCAAAAACTTGAGTTTTTGTTTGAAAATTGTCGAGAGAAAAATGATGTCGAAAATCTCTTTTCGCTGCCACTGCCGCCCTATTGCTGGCTTGCTCGCTCGCACACTCGAACGCCAGCACAACGCACGCACACACTCACGCACACACCACCAATACAGACAGACTGCGTCGTACGTTTTATTTTTCTATTTTTCGTTTCGTTTCTTTTCGTTTTTCGTTTACGATTTTTGTTGCTACTGCTGTTGTTATTGTTATTGTTGGTGCTTCACAAAAATTAACTGCGACATTAAATGTGGCCAAGTGATCTCCTTTTTGTTTTTTGTATTTTAATTTGGTTTAACGCCCGTTCAAACTTATGTCGCAACAAACATAAAAAAAATATTGGATCCCAGAGAGACGACGACTGTTTGCTGCCAATGAAAAGTAACAAAAAAAAACTAGTACTAGCTAGGCTGGGTGGCTGGCTAGCGAGCGTTTCGGTTTATTTTTGTGTAATCGTTTAGCGGACACTTAGTATTATTAATTGTTATTATTTTGGTTGCTGCGCTATTTCTGTTTCTGTTTCTGTCTCTCTGTTTTTTCTTTTCTTTTCGCCTATCGATAGTCGACTATCTTTCGATAATTATCTGTTCACAATTTCACAGCTGTTATTTTGACTTCGCCATCGGATTTGCCCTGAAGTCTTGCAATGACGTCATTTTTCATTTACAGAAAAGGTTTAGAGCTCGGCTAAATTAAAAATCAACGAACGGTAGCCACCGTGAAACTTATAAAAAACATCTGGGGATTTCTGTTTATTTTTTTTATAGTTTGTAAAACAGCAACCCATAAAATTTGCCATATTTTCACTAAACTAATAATATTAATTTTTGATTATGAAAATCCTCTACTTCCTCCACAAAGCCAACTTCGTCCATAAAATCTAGCCTTTAAGCCCATCGTATAAAATTAAAATCTGTATATATTTAATCGAGCGGTAGGCCACAGCAGCCTATGCTCATAATTTGAAGTTAACCTTTAGTTTACAACCAATCGCTAGCTTTATATAAATAAATAAATAAATAAATAATTTTTGATTATAATGTATAAGGGTCTCCTGCCATGGTTGGTGGCCTTGCTGTGAATGGACTGCCTAGCTTTTACAGTAGATTTCAATTATTTCTTTGATATGCAGGAAAATGCGAAGCATTATTATATTTGTTGTGCCTTTGTAGGTAAATATAATTTTTGTCAGGAGAGGACGATGCGAAGTTAATTTTATTTCTTGACTTCTCTGTAGCTAGACACGAACCAGTTTAAGGCGACATCTACTGGGGTTTTTTCCAACTGAAATCGATTGCCCCGATTATCAAGTAAATCGGACGGTATGACTTATCGATCCATCGATATAAGTCACAGTGTTAGTTAGTGTTACCAGACTATGATCACTTTTATAAACTAGATTCTAAGCAAGAATAAGCTACAATCTGCTAAATAAATATATAAATTGCTAGATTGTTGCTTAATCAGAAACTGAAATAAAAATTTAGTTTTAGTAGTAATTGTAGTTGATTTTTCAGTAGCTGTTTTTTTCTTTAGCATTTTTGAAGAAAGAAGCTATTTCAAATGGTAACATATATAAAGCATCATAACTTTGTGTATATATTTTGTGCTTGTTTTAAGATACGTGTTTATAATAACAAAAACAAGTTACAATCTGCTAAATAAATATACAAAGTGCTAGATTGCTGCTAAAACAAAAAGTAAAATAAAAATGTATTAGTTTTAAGATACGTGTTTATAATAAAAAAAAACTACAATCTGCTAAATAAATATACAAATTGCTAGATAGCTGCTAAAACAGAAAGTGGAATAAAAATATATTAGTCTAAAGAAACGTGTTTATAATAAAAACAAAACAAAAATAAGCTACAATCTGCTAAATAAATATACAAATTGCTAGATAGCTGCTAAAAGTGAAGTAAAAACGTAGTAGCTTTAAGATACATGTTTATAATGAAACAAAAAACAAAAATAAGCTACAATCTGCTAAATAAATATACAAATTGCTAGATTGCTGCTAAAACAGAAAATGAAATAAAAATGTAGTAGTTTTAAGATAAGTGTTTATAATAAAAATAAAAAAACAAAATAAGCTACAATCTGTTAAATAAGTATTTAAATTGCTAGATTGTTGCTTAAACAGAAAGTGAAGTAAAACTATAGTAGCTTTAAGATACATGTTTATAATAAAAAAACAAAAATAAGCTACAACCTGCTAAATAAATATACAAATTGCTAGATTATTGCTAAAACAGAAAGTGAAATAAAAATGTATTATTTATTATTCAAATTGCTAGATTGTTCCTTAAACAGAAAGTTAAATAAAAATGTATTAGCTTTAAGATACATGTTTATAATAAAACAAAAAACAAAAATAAGCTACAATCTGCTAAATAAATATACAAATTGCTATATTGTTGCTTAAACAGCAAGTGAAATAAAAATGTAGTAGTAATTGTGGTTGATGTACATTTTTTCTTTTGTATTCTGAAGGACAAAGCTATTTCAAATGGTAACATAGATAAAGCATCTTAACTCCGTAAAAACATTTTGTACTTGTTTTAAGATACGTATTTATATTAAACAAAACCAAACATATGTACAAATTGCTAGATTGTTGCTTACACTGAAACTGAAATAAACATGTAGTAGTTTTAGTAGTAATTGTAGTTCATTTATTTTTTTTTCTTTGGCATTTTGAAGAACAAAGCTATTTCAAATGGTAACATAGATAAAGCATCTTAACTCCGTAAATACATTTTGTACTTGTTTTAAGATACGTATTTATAATAAACAAAAGCACATGTAACATAAATAATGTATTTATATGGATTATAAAGTAAATCGTTGATGTCATGGATGCAATTACTTCTAAAACTTGCTGGATGAGTAGTAAAATGAGCAATTTTTAGAGCTGTTAGCTTTGCTAATTTCAAATATGCTAGATCTAGCCTGAAATAAGCTAAGCAGGCTATTTTCATAACATTCATAAGCTCTTCGATATTGAAATATTCTAGATCTAGATTGTAATAAGGTAAGCTGGTTTTTTTATGGCTATAAGCTTTCCCATTTGCAAAAATGCTAGATCTAGCCAGAAATAAGCTAAGCTGGCTATTTTTATGGCTAAGGCTGAAGTATGCCAGATCTAGCTTGAAAAATACCGAACTCGCAACAGCGTTGTTATGACAAGTGTTAACAGAAATTGTGCTCGTTAACAGAAAAGTGTTGGTAAATTCACGTTTTTAAGAGATCATACTGTAAGTTGTTCAGAGCATACAAAGCTCTCTTGGTAGTGACGGCAGAAACATCGATGTGCGAAAAATCATCGATGATTTAGAAATAACATCGATGCATCGATGTTTTCATCGGTGTTTTGCGCTCTCTAGTGCCAGTCCGCCAGTGACACTTTTTTTTGCACACACAATAACAACTACCACAACAAAATAACCTCTTAATTCTATTTGTTGTTTTCGTTGTGGCCGCCGTGAAATTCGCAAACTGTGTGTGTGTCCGAGCGGGTGTCCGTGTGTGGCTGTGTTTTGGTATCCAGTGAGTTCATCAAAAAATAAGAGCAAACCAATGAAATGTGTGTTATATGTTGGAAAATATTATATTTGGGTCAAATCTTTTAGTGTCCGAGTGTCCGTGACTGTGTCAGTGTGTGTGGTTTTTCCTTAATTTCCTCTTTGTTTTTACTTTCGTCTTAATATTTGTTGTTGTTTTTCTCTTTGCCTCGCCACGCTGCTGCTACTGCTGGTGCTGCTTGTGCCGCTGTTGTTGTTCTTGCTGCACGCGCTTCTTCTGCCGGCGCAACTAATTCGATTTATTTATAAATGCAAAAATTTCTACAAGCGTTTAAAATATTTCTGTTCCTAAACTAAAATGCAAGGAAATTAAATGAACAAGCCTGTGTGTGTGTGTGAGTGACCTTCGTGCAATCACTTTCAATTAGAACGAACGGACAGCGAGCAAGGCAAAGGGCAGGAGGAAAAGAGCAGAGTCAGGTCCTGCGATAATGCAATCAGATCGCCCGAGTGTGGGTGTGTGTGTGTGTGTGTGTGTGCCAGTAGTCCGTGTGCGTGTGCGCATTTAATTCAATTGTTGCACTTTTACAGTTTGAAAGCAATTAACAAGCAGGCCAATTTGCAGGAAGGCAGGCAAGAAAGGAGCGACATTGGAAGCGGCCACTGGAAGAGGAAAACAGTGGAAATCATCACCAGTCTCTAGTCAACAAAGCAGACCAAATGAGCACGCACTTTGCGACTAACAAGCAGCACAAACTAAGCCAAAAATAAAGATAAAGATAAGCGGCAAAAGGAGGAGGAGAAGGAGCGCCAAAGGAGAGGAGGAGAGCAACACTCACACTCACTCGTGCACTGAGAAAAAAGAATAGAGATAAATAACCGGCAGCAAGATGCGGGTCGTGGCCATGGTCAGCGGCGGCAAGGATAGCTGCTACAACATGATGCAGTGCGTCGCCGAGGGTCACGAGATCGTCGCCCTGGCCAATCTGCATCCCAAGGACAGAGGTGCGTTCGGGAAGCTTTCATTTCAACACATTTTTTAATGTTTTTATATATTTAAATTTATGGGAAAGAAAAGGCTTCTACCTGACTCCAAATCCTATAAATTTTCTTTAAGAAATTATACCAAAGACCTTTAATTATTATTTAGATAACTTTATATTGATGTAAACTATAACTTTTATTAATTTTATTACAATCCAATGTACCTTTTCCATTTAGAGTAAGGCTAAAGTCGACAGAGTTGTTATTACCTACTTTTCTTTTATTATTGGCCCAAGCTCCTGTGTTTGCTTTAGCATTTACCGCTGTTTTTGATCTCCGGCCGCTGTACTTGCTCCCATTTTTGAACTCTAACACTTGCAGACGAGCTGGATAGCTTCATGTACCAGACGGTTGGCCACATGGGCATCGAGATTCTGGCCAGCGCCATGGGACTGCCGCTGTATCGGCGCGAGACCAAGGGCAAGAGCACCCAGACCGGCAAGCAGTACGTGCCCACCGACGATGACGAGGTCGAGGATCTATATAGTCTGCTGGAGACATGCAAGGTGATTGATTGTTGATTGCTGTTGTTGCAGACCCACATTTTCCATTTTCCATTTCCCAATCATCCAATCCCGTTCCCTGCAATGTCAGATTAAAGCGACTGATTAGAAAACTGTTGGGAAAATTCCCTCAACCTTCTCTCGCTAAGGGGATACCCTTTCAAATTTTGTAATTATCACTTGCTTTGGGTATCATTTAATCATCATGGCTACTTTAAACAATAAATCGATCTAGGCAGACAGTATTCTTTTACCGCCATTGTTTACCCAGGAATATGAGTCAGTTGAGCTTTTCTTTATTTATTTATTGAATTTCTTTTTATGTGGTAAAAGGCTAACGTAGAACGCTAGAAATATAATTATAGTTGGTATAATACAGTAAACAAAATAGAAAGATTATTAAAGCTTAGACATTTTCCACAATTTCTTTGATATTTGTTTGTGGATATTTGAATGCTTTGCGAATAACAAAAAAGTGAGACAAATAAGTATTTGAAATTCTATAAATAGCATACAGTATTTGTTTTGCTTTCTTTTTTCTTACTTTTTATTGAAATAATCCTATAATTATGTGTTTGCTTGAAATATCTCCTAAAGTCTATCAATGCTGTTTAAATTAATAATTTAATATATACGAGGGAACTTGTTAACCCTTAAAGAGTGTAAAGGGCATAAATCAGAGCTCTTGTTTACTTGTCCCTCGTCTTGTTGTGCCATGTCCTTGGCCAAGTCCCTGATCCGGTAACTGCAGCGGAGATTGCCACCGGTTTATAATTGGTTGGCACATCCACAATCCGAGCTGTAATCTTATCGCGATGCCCGACGAGCTCCTCGCTGCCGCCGTGCACGTGAACCGTCCGTTCAGTTTCGTTCAAGTAAAATAAATAAAGAAAAGCCAAAAAACAATAACTATAATCGCACAAATTGTTTATTTACCCTTTGATAATAATACACCAAGAAATCGAATCGATTTGAAGGAGAATGAAGAGACTTTAATGCTAAATGGTGATTACAGTTTTGCAGGCGCCTAGTAATTACACTTTTGCATGAAGATATATATAAAACTGTATATATTTATATATTTATTTACCCTTGTGGAGGGTATTTTGATATCAGAGCAAAGCTTGGACCCTGTTATCTAATGGATTTATCCATCAAAATGCAAATACATTTCTTATATTTATACCCTAGCAGGGTATTATACTTTCAGTCAGAAGCTTAAAACTTAGCGAAGGAATCATTTCCGACCCTATAAATCATATATATTCTTGATCAGCATCAACAGGCGAAACTTTCTAGCCCTCATCGGCCAGAAAATTTTTTTTTAAATTTTTTTCAAAAATAAGAAAGGGGTTACATCGTTAAAATTTTCAAAAATTGAGAAAAAAATTAAATTTTTTTTAAATTTTAAATTGAGTATGCAGTTTTGTTAACCTTTTAAAAACTAACATAGGACAGATTTCAGAACTGAAATTAATGGGTTTTTGGCTTAGTTATGAGTATTTTAAACTTTGATTTGTCGAAAAAATGTCCATTGATTTAAAATAAAGCATATAAAGAGGTTAATATTTTAAAGTTAGTTCTGCAAGATTTCCCATACGATCTTATAATTTAATTATAAGCATTGACTTCCCCAAGTTAGTTTCCTTTCTTGATAAAGGTTTAATGAATAATTTTATTTATACCCACATATAAAATTTTGCTTACCAAAGCAAAGCATTTATTATGGCTAGAAAGTTACTGTCAGGTCTTGATAATATTTTATTTTAATTAAACCATTTATCTATAAACTTTTTGATGATCTTGTGGCCTAGTTTCTGTAGTTAATAACTATGAACCCCTAACAGAGACTATTTTTAGACTAATACAATCTGAAACACTTACCTAAACATTAATATTAATATAAAGAAGCTCAAATAAGATCGTAAAACTAGACAGTAAACAAATATATCTAATTTTTTATTGTCTTTTGTTTATTGAAAGTAAAGCATTTCTTCTCGGAAAAATATTAGAGTTTTGCTCTGACACCAATCAAATTACAGACTGTCTTCTGTTTCAGAAATTTTCCATTAATTATGACTAATTAATGATATAATTGATTTATCAACAGCACGAACTACAGGTGGAGGCGGTGGCCGTTGGCGCCATCCTATCGGATTACCAGCGCGTTCGCGTGGAGAATGTATGCAGCCGCCTGAACCTGATATCCCTGGCCTATCTATGGAGGAGAGATCAGACTGAATTGCTGCAGGAGATGATTGACTGTCAGGTGCATGCCATCATAATCAAGGTATGTTGACCACCTTGAAGTGAGAGTTATATAATAATCACCTGCTGCTGCTGCTGCTGTCTGGTCTAAATTTAGTCCAGGTAAACACGCCTTTGTTCGTTCAGCTGAAAGAAAAACTCAACTGCCTTCTGTCCTATTTGTAAAATAAAATAATTTACAAAATAATCAAAGAATTGTGAGCTGTGTTTGTCCAGCAATTTGAGGCTTCCCATTTTTTATTGAACCTTGATTAGCAGCATTGTATAATTTATTCTTGGGAAAAATAGAGCCAGTGCGTTGAGCGTGGCGTTTCTTATTTTATTTATTTATTTAGTAGAGCAGTGATTTCAAAGATCTATAATAGACAATAAGTAAAAATCTGTTATTCTTTTGTATACAATTCTAATATTTCATCTTTTCTAGGTGGCTGCCCTGGGCCTAGTGCCGGATAGACACCTGGGCAAGTCGTTGCGCGAGATGCAGCCGCATCTGCTCAAGATGCGTGACAAGTATGGCCTGAATGTTTGCGGCGAGGGCGGCGAGTATGAGACCTTCACTTTGGACTGCCCGCTCTTCCGCCAGCGCATCGCTGTCGAGGATATTCAGACCATCATTAGCAGTGCCGATCCCATTTGCCCCGTGGGATACATCAACTTTACCAAACTAACGCTGCAGCCAAAGGAAGCGGCCAGCGGTGCAGCCAGTGTCGTTGTCGGCGGCAGCGGCGGTGGCGGTGGTGGTGGTGGCGGCGAGGTGGTCTTTGTAAAGCGTTCGCTTGACTACATCAGCGACCTTAATGAGTCCACGTATAGTGACCTCAGTGATCCGGATTTCAGTGAAACGGAACTGGAGCTGATCGAGAAGGAGACGCGACTTCGTGAATCGCTCAGCCAAAGTGAGCTTATATCGCGCAGCAACTCCTTTGGCCGCCATTTGGCTGCCGCCGCCACCACCGCCTCCTCCTCGCCCATACCCATTGTCACGAAGAGCGCCAGCGTCGACGAGCCCACAGCGGCGGCGGCGCCGCCAGTGCTAGGAGCACCCACCAGTTCCACATCCGCCTGTGCATCGATGCTGCTGACCGCCACCGATGGTGGTTCAAGCAGCCTGGCCAGTTCGCATAGTCAAGGCGTTGGCGGCCATGGAGGCCATCATGGACTGGGCAGCAGCACCGCCGCCGTTTGCGGCTCGCTGTCGCTGGCCATCTCCTCGCTTGGGCTAAGCGCCAATACCTGCTGTCAACCGGGCATCGGAACGGGAGGAGGAACAGGAGCCACACAGCCGCCCAGTCCGCTGACGTACGAGCGGGAATTCCGTCCATTGGCCAACGTGGCTAAAGCGGCCATCAATGCCAAGGGCTGGATGTGGCTGGCTGGCATACAGGGTATCCAAAAATGAGTCTCTAAAGCATACCAAATAAATATACTAATCCCTGGCCAAGAGCAAAGCAAGGTTGTCACTAGTCTTCACTTCTTAAGGCCACAAGTTTGTTTGTTTGTTAATTTATTTAATTAACTTTAGTATTTTTCTTTTACAAAAACCAGTGACAACCCCGTTTATGAGCAATCCTTCTAATCTCTTGTCTTACTCCTCGACAGGTAGCGGCACTGAGGGCATGGAGCACGGCATGCAGCTGGCCCTGGACACGCTGCGCGATCTCTGCCACTCGAAGGGCTATGAACTTCAGGATTTGTGCTACATCACCCTCTATGTTCGCTCCATTGCCGAATATCCTGCACTGAATCGCATCTACTTGCGCTCCTTCGACTTTCACAATCCACCGACTCGTGTTTGTGTTGAGTGCCCTTTGCCCGATGGCTGTCATGTGGTGATGGAGGCCATTGCCTACCGCCAGCCCGTGGCGGGTACGATATCCAGTGCCGAGGAGCGTGATCGTGAGGGTGAGGAGACGGCAGCGGCTTTGCTAAATGGACGCCGCAACACGATGCATGTTCAGGGCATATCCCACTGGGCACCGGCCAATATCGGTCCCTACAGCCAGTCCACCAGGGTGAGATATATATAAAGAATTAGATATTAGTTGGCAACATGAAGTATAAAATCCCTTTTCAGATTGGCGACATTACCTACATCTCTGGCCAGATTGCCTTGGTGCCCGGCAGCATGACCATCATCGAGGGCGGCATTCGACCTCAGTGCAAGCTAACCCTGCGCCACATCAGTCGCATTGCCAAGGCCATGAATGCCCATGGCCAGCTCAGGGATGTGGTCCATGGCATCTGCTTTGTTACCCATCCTGCCTTTATTGGGGAGGCGCGTCGGCAGTGGGAACGCCGAACGACCAATGCCATTATGGACTATATCGTGTTGCCGGCTCTACCTCGGGAAGCTCTCGTGGAGTGGCAGGTGTGGGCGCACACCCACAACGATCGCTTCGACTGTAAGACAGAAAGGAGTTTTAATGGAATTTATAGGAATATCAATTAATTTCCTTGCTTGACAGATGAGGAGACTGGCTGCTCGGTGGGTGACTATACCATTGCGATACGACGACGTTGGAACTATGAGAACAATTGTGCTGCCATCGTTTGCTATGTGTCCACCGGCCTAGCCTCGTCCACCACTCAGCTGACGCAGCTAAGCGACGATATCTTGGGCAACCACTGCCGTCTGGCGCAGTCTGTAAGCGCCGAGCATATGGACGAGATACTCACTTATGTGGTAAATCGTCTGCTCAAGGATTATCCGCTGGCCAAGAAGCACCAACAGCAGCATCACCAGGTGACAGAGGAAACTACTGCCCCTGGAGAAACCTGTGCTGGCGGGGATCAACAGCAGCAGCAGCAACAGCAGCCACTGCCGGCCATACACCTGAAGCTTTTCTATCAGGTGAATGCCGCTCCGGCCACGGATCTGCTGCTCCAGGCGCTGAATGATTTTCGAATCAAATGCCAGGATACGGCAGCGATTGTCTATACGGTGCTGCCCGCCTGCAGTTTGCACAACTTCAGTACGTTCCTGTCCATATGCGGGGTGAGGCACGAGTAGGAGGAGGAGCATCAGGATTACACAAACAATTTGCTGCCAGCGCACCAAGCAAAAATCTGATTATTATATATACATATATATACAACAAACAGTTCTATATATGTATATATATTGCAGGGAAAGAAGAGTAATCTTTGGATAAGTTCCAGTTCGCCTTTAAAGCTTTTTTTTTTAATTGTAAAATTCAATAAGCACAAAGATTCCTTTCTTGATATATATTTATTATTATTAATTAGTATCTATTAGCAAAGTGTAATTGTTTTTCTATTTACAAAATGGAACAATTAAGCCAAAATTTATAATGAAATTAGTCTAACAACATGTCCTGGATATTATCCATAGATTATTTTAACACTCTGCCTACGATTTTCGTTTGAAAAACAATTATTACAATGTATAAAAGCTATAGCTATACACATATACACATATATATTTTGTTAACTAGCAAAGAGATGCTGCAGAGCATCCTGCCTATGCATTAGCACACTTTGTGTCGCAGTTTCGGACCAAAAATCAACTCAACACACACACACACAGCAAAAGATCTATGTACGCAACTCAAGTGTTTCAGCATAAACTATGAAAACTACAACTAAAACTAAACAAACTCAATTTATATATATATATAAATATCCGTGTGTATATATAAAAACGAGGAAAGCAAAAACCAATTTTTTGTGTGCACTCTATTGCCCAAAACTGTAACTATATACTCTTATACAAAACTATTAACTATTAATCGTTTTTCGATGTGCTTTTTCTTTATGCTCCAACTTTTTATATCTATATATATACCATATATATATGTATATGTAAATCTCAGCGATTATTGTTCAACTTATTTCACACACAAGAAACAAAAATCGACACATTTTGAGCTTTAAAAAAATTAAATAAATTATTGTGAAATATAGGGAAACCCGAATAAGTAGGGATGCCACAGAAATTGCTGCCAGAATTCCAGGATTCACTCTGGAAATTGCATTGGAAGGATATCTAGTTTCATTACCTGTTGGTGGGATTTTCAAGCAATAGCGATTTCTGTTTGCAAACCCCTCTTAAAATTCAACCGAAAGCGACCTTAGTTTTTATCGCCCCTTTTTTTAGATATTGAAATTACCGAATAGCGAGATTATTAAAGTTGTGTGTCACAACAACAACACTGTCCATAGTTTTTCCTGCACAAAACACACACCCCACACACAGACTTTGTTTAAATTCTCCAAAGGATACTTTTTTAATGTAAAGTATAAATAGAGTAAAGCTAACAACAAATATCGACGGGACGCTGAGCGGAGGAGCGATACAAAAACAAGATTATTACATGCTATTATGTATTGTTATGAAACAAAAAAATTAATATATATATATTGATATTGATATTGATTGAGTGTCATTATAAAAGTCGAGAAAACCAAAGAAAAATCAGCTACGTGTACGTTTTCTTATTTTTGGGTGGATGAGAGCTAAGAACACGTAGCTCTTCTGCTAGAAAGTACTATATATATATATATGCTTTATTTATAGCACAAATAAATCTTATCGGGGCTCGAGAACTCTGATTTATGGAAATATGCAAGTGTTTGTTATCATTTCTATACCCTTGCAGGGTATTATCATTTTAGTTAATAGCTTGCAAAATAATGAAGGAGTCATTTCCGACCCCATAAATCATATATATTCTTGATCAGCATCAACAGGCGAATCTTTCTAACCATCTTCGGGAGAAAAAGAAATTTTTCAAAAAAAATCAATTTTTGTTCAAAAAAGTAAAGGGTTTACATCGTTAAAATTGTCAAAATTTGAAAAAAGTTTAAATTTTAAACTGAGTATGCAGATTTATTAACCTTATAAAAACTAGCATAGGACAGCTTTCCGAACTAAAATTAATGCATTTTTGGCTTAGTTATGATATTTGAAAAGCTTTGATTTACCCCAAAAAATTACCATATAAAAATATCCATTTAATATACCTCGATTACACATATTTTAGGTTTTCTTAATGGTACACGAATTAAATAATTTGTAATAATTTAAATATTAAATCTTATAGCTACTGAAAGTGTATACAAACTTTGGCTTTTCGAAGTTAATTAATTTTTTGTTTATGTTAAGATCAGGAAAATGCTAGATGCGTCGTGAATCTTTGATTAAGGCGTTAAAAAAAACTTAATCTATTTAAATTCTTTGAATTAAATTAAATATGAATCATCTATGCATTTTTTTGGTAATTGTCATTAAGGAGTAATTGATAAGTACTTTCTCTGTATAATTTCTAAATAGTTTCCCAATTTTTAGATTAAATAATCAAATCAGGCAATACTACGATATATAGATACTTTTGTAAATTTTTTTTACTGGAATGATATTAAATATTTAAATGAATTTCTACAAATAATGATTAAAACTTAACTTACAATGACGTAGTGTTTAGGCTTTTAATCCAATATGACTTTTTTAATTTCGCAGTTTTAGCTCAAAACTATTTTTGGTTCAAAATTTAAAAAAATATGTATAAAATATATTTTGTTTCGGTGTTCTTTTTAAGGGATAAAAAAATATTTTTCTTAAAAATTTCTAGAATTTTCCAGATGTATTTCAGGAAATCTTTCTGTAAAATGATAAAGAAATGTTAAAATATCACTACTCATATTCTTATAGTTGCTTATATTTTAAGATTTATCGCCATTCTTGGATTATTTTTTTAGAAATATAAAGTTTTGCTTATATAAAATATTAAAATACAGACATTTTTTAAAAAGAATTGCTTCTCCACTCTTATATCTCTTAAAATAATATGAAAAATCTTGTTTGTTCTTCGTCCCGCGAAAATAATTCCATATTTTCACCAAACAATTTCTTACAAGCCGAAAACTGCAATAAAAAATTAAATATTCCAACCTTGTCGGAAGGTACGCCCCTGAAAAACCCCAAAATTAACGGTAAATTGCCAGAGCCAGCTGGAAGCATAACGGTCAATCCGTGGAACGTACACGTCAGTGTTGGCTTGCTCAAGACGTACGCATATTTGCATCAGACAAACACAAATTTCACCTTCTGCAGCCGCCAAACAAAAACAACAACAAAAATTAAACGAAGTACCATGCTCTTCAAAATTGGTCAATGAAAATGTTTGGGTAAACAAACGCAACGGAAAAGAGCTTTTGCGAGAGCGAGCGCTCTCACCAGCTCTCTCTGTCCCTCTCCCATTCGAACTTTCCAGTGGGCGGCACCGCCAATGGGAGCGATTGCATCCACTGACGTGGTCGACACGTCAGTCGTCGACAGCATAAATAGCCGCCGCTGGGGAGAGCGAGAATCATTTTCAAAACAAACGTACAAAGGAATAACACAGCACAGCACAAGAGAAACGCAACGCGATTTTTAAATTCGTTCCAAAAATCCATACATATATATTCCAATAAGAAACGCTGTGACCGGAAAAGAAATAAATAGCTTAAACTTAAAATTAAATTAAATCCAAGCCAAAAAGACAACAAAGACTATATTACTCGATTAGAGATAGCAACCAAGTGACAACTAACTAAATAAGTGAATTTTTTTTAATAGTTTTAATTAGAAAATGTAAGTATACAAATCAAATGAATTACAACTTTATATTGTGTGTTGTGTTGAATGAGACTTAAAGTTATAGGAGAACCTAAGACTTGTCTTAGTATTAGTGGGAAACAGACACCAGTGTTTTTTTTTTTTTTTTCAAGTTTCATTAATAACAAACGATTTGTTATCTTTGGGTGTTATTTGAAAAGCGGTTACTTTGGTCAGTGTTGCTTTCCAACACTGGGCACAACGACTGACGTGTCTCTTTTCGACCACAGAGTTGCATGCGTGTGTGTGTGAGCGGCCGACTGTCGCTGTGTGCGTGAGTAGAAAGCGCCGGCAAAAAAGTCGGAAAGTTTGGTCTGTCATTCCGTTTTGAAGCGTCGAGAAAGCACATTAGTCGAGAAAACTCAGAAAAATCTGTCAGCCGCAAAGCGATAAGTGTAAGTGTAATAAACTCAAAAAGAACAGCAGTAATTAACTGGAAAGCGCACTCGCCGACGGCACAGATAGAACATTATATTCGTGAGTAGTCAGAAGGAGAGAGGGAGCTGGACACAGACAGAACGTGGGCGCAGGAGGGCCAAGGGTCATCCTCACACATACACTGCATTTTTACAGTCGCCATGTTGGCAGAAATCTAAAGCTAATGAAAAGAACGTTTTGCACGTGGGTAAAACAATAAATAGAAGCGTGCGAACTGGCAAATTAGAGGTAATCGGCAACTGTGTGACGTGGTGGCCGTGCATAATTTTGAATACCGGTGACGCATAAATTAGCGTAGCATAACGATTATAACAAAGCGAATGCGGAGTGAATGAACTCGCGTTTCCGCCACCTCCCCCTCTCCTTCGTATAGTTGCTATGTGTTCTTGCCATTTCTTTATTATTTGTTATATTGTAAATTTGCAGTTAATTCAGTCGAATTCAGTTTTTTTTTATTGCAAAGCGCTTGCGCATGCTGCTTCCTCTTCTCGAGTGTGCCGGTGTATGTGTGTGTCTGTGTGGGAGCGTGTGTTCAATCAGCTTGGTACACGTCATTTATATAGCAGATTTAAGCTCTTGGCTAAAAGTACACGTCAGTGGTAACAGAAAAAGATTACAAGCAGATAAACCTTGATATCGCTGGAGTTAGTGTGTGGGCCTAAGTGTGTGTGTGTGTGTGTGAGAGAGAGGGACAGAGTGTGCCATAAACAGCTGTGCAAATTCCTTCAACCGATTCTTTTTATATTGGAACTTTCTCCAAGTGGCAGCGTATGTGTGAAGAAGAAGCAGAACAAGAATTTCTTGACAAGGCAGAACACAAAAAACGAACAAAAAAAACCCGTTTCTTTGCTCTCCTATGCCGGCTACTCTCTCCCTCTCTTTCTCTCTGTGTTCCATCTCTGCCAAGAAAGAACCAGAAAAAATGTTACACGTATACAAAATTCAATGCTCTCTCTCTCTCGGCTGCGGCTCGCAGCAGCGGTAGAATTTTGGATGAACACTTGCCGGGCAGTTGGCCAGTGGAGTTGACTTTTGTTGTTAAAAGATCTTGAGCCGAGAAGGTGGGCCCCCTTGGATTAAAAGTTGAAGGTGAAGACCAAAGTGTGCTTGGTTGCCAAAGTGGCACAGCTAACGGTACCTGTTGATAGTTGACCAACGTCAGCAGTTGCTCTCCAAGAACGTGTGGCTGTGTGCGTGTGTGTGGAAGTGCGGCAGAGAGTGAACCGTGTGTGTTGACGTGTACAAAAGCCAAGCTTAGACCTTAATTCCATTTTGAAATCTTTTATATTAATAATTGTCTTTAATTGTAATTTCAGTTTTTTTTGAGACATCTTCAAGATGAGGTTATGCATATTACTGGCTGTCGTGGCCTTTGTAGGCCTCTCGCTGGGCGAGGAGAAGAAGGAGAAGGACAAGGAGCTGGGCACAGTGATTGGCATCGATCTGGGCACCACATACTCCTGGTACGTATAGATCCTGGCACCGAGAAGCACCATATGACCTGGCAGGGACATTAGGATCATAGTCCTTAAAATTGTATTCATGTGAATGAAGTTTCAAACTGTTACACGTATGCAAATGATTCGTAGTGTTCCCATCAGTGTTCAAATCAAGTTCAAGTTTAACTTGATTAATTAATTAATTAATTTTGAATATTATGCAAGTTTTAATTGGTTTTATCAAAGATTTATTTCTTATTTTGGGTTTCAACGATTCCCTCGACTCACAAGTATTACAAAATCTTCTAAAACGTGTTGAATTTAAGCTGAACTATCCATAAATCCTTTGTTAAACTATTCTTAAAAGGATTTATATTATTTTTCAAGGTCTAATGGAGTTTCCACTTCAATTTAAACAACCAATATGCATTACTAATTTAATATTACCTTTTCTTCAATTTCTCCACTTGCAGCGTTGGCGTTTACAAGAACGGACGCGTTGAGATCATTGCCAACGATCAGGGCAACCGTATCACACCTTCCTACGTGGCCTTCACCGCTGACGGTGAGCGTCTCATTGGAGATGCCGCCAAGAATCAGCTTACCACCAATCCCGAGAACACAGTCTTCGATGCCAAGCGTCTGATTGGCCGCGAATGGTCCGACACGAATGTGCAGCACGACATCAAGTTCTTCCCCTTCAAGGTTATCGAGAAGAACTCGAAGCCCCATATCAGCGTGGACACGTCCCAGGGCGCCAAGGTCTTTGCTCCTGAGGAGATCTCCGCTATGGTTCTTGGCAAGATGAAGGAGACCGCTGAGGCCTATCTGGGCAAGAAGGTTACCCATGCTGTCGTTACTGTGCCAGCCTACTTCAACGATGCCCAGCGTCAGGCGACCAAGGATGCCGGTGTCATTGCTGGTCTCCATGTGATGCGCATCATCAACGAACCCACTGCTGCGGCTATTGCCTACGGTCTGGACAAGAAGGAGGGCGAGAAGAATGTGCTAGTGTTCGATCTTGGCGGCGGTACCTTCGATGTCTCCCTGCTGACCATCGATAACGGTGTGTTCGAGGTGGTGGCCACCAACGGTGATACCCATTTGGGTGGTGAGGACTTCGATCAGCGTGTGATGGATCACTTCATTAAGCTGTACAAGAAGAAGAAGGGCAAGGATATCCGCAAGGACAACCGTGCTGTCCAGAAGCTGCGTCGCGAGGTTGAGAAGGCTAAGCGTGCTCTGTCCGGTTCCCATCAGGTGCGCATCGAAATCGAGTCGTTCTTCGAGGGTGATGACTTCTCCGAGACCCTGACCCGTGCCAAGTTCGAGGAGCTGAACCTCGATCTCTTCCGTTCGACCCTGAAGCCAGTGCAGAAGGTGCTTGAGGATGCTGACATGAACAAGAAGGATGTGCACGAGATTGTGCTGGTTGGTGGCTCTACCCGTATCCCCAAGGTGCAGCAGCTGGTCAAGGACTTCTTTGGCGGCAAGGAACCCTCCCGAGGCATCAATCCCGATGAGGCTGTCGCTTACGGTGCTGCCGTCCAGGCTGGCGTACTCTCTGGCGAACAAGACACCGACGCTATTGTTCTCCTCGACGTTAACCCACTGACCATGGGCATTGAGACCGTCGGCGGTGTGATGACCAAGCTGATTCCCCGTAACACTGTCATTCCTACAAAGAAGTCGCAGGTGTTCTCCACCGCTTCCGATAACCAGCACACCGTGACGATTCAGGTGTACGAGGGCGAACGTCCCATGACCAAGGACAACCATCTGCTGGGCAAATTCGATCTGACTGGCATCCCACCAGCACCCCGCGGCATTCCCCAGATCGAGGTATCGTTCGAGATCGACGCCAACGGCATCCTGCAGGTCAGTGCCGAGGACAAGGGCACCGGCAACAAGGAGAAGATTGTGATTACCAACGACCAGAACCGTCTGACGCCCGAGGACATTGATCGCATGATCCGTGATGCCGAGAAGTTCGCCGATGAGGACAAGAAGCTGAAGGAGCGCGTTGAGTCGCGCAACGAGCTGGAGTCGTACGCCTACAGCCTGAAGAACCAAATTGGCGACAAGGACAAGCTGGGAGCCAAGCTCAGCGACGACGAGAAGACCAAGCTGGAGTCTGCCATCGATGAGTCGATCAAGTGGCTGGAGCAGAATCCCGATGCCGATCCCGAGGAGTACAAGAAGCAGAAGAAGGACCTCGAAGCGATCGTCCAGCCGGTGATTGCTAAGCTCTACCAAGGCACCGGCGGTGCTCCGCCACCAGAGGGCGGTGCCTCTGAGGACGATCTCAAGGACGAGCTGTAAGAAGAAGCCCATCTCTCTGCCCCCACAGAATCCATTGAAGAGATCCAGATAGTGTTGGAATTAATTCAGACTGATTAAACAATTATAAACTTAATTGCAACAGCAGCCACAACAGAAACAACAACAAAAAGCAGCAACAATAACAACCTAGCAGCAAAAAAGGATAATACTATACACAAACACAGAGACACACATCCTCAACAAAAAGAAAGAAACAAACAAAACAAAATCCTTTTTTTACGAAATTTTTTTTTCTACGATTTAATTGAAAATTCTTTTCCTTTTCTCTCTGTGCAAATCACTCGCATTCCGCCCCCCACATCCCACTCCCGTTAGCTGCCTAATTATGTAAAACTGTAAATTTTTTATATACATAAACACACACACACATGCGACTGTAATTTGTAAACTGCAATCTGCAATCCCCCCAGAGGGAGGAGAGATAGCTAGAGAAAGCGAAGCAGAGAGGAGAAGAGGAGTCACAAATCAATAGGTTTAGCCTAACGGATATGTAAACACAAGCACACCCACACAGACAAATGTTATATGTATAAGCGTGTGAGAGCGAGCGTGTAGCTGCGGGGCGTGCGGAGAATTATAAATAATAACTGAATATGAGAATGCAAGAACTGCAGGAGTGCAGATAAGGAGGAAAAGAGATAGACCACAAAAATACACAAAAAAACAAAAACTACTTAAGCAGCGACAGCAACAACATCAGCAAACGGCGGCTTAATAAAAGGATCCTTCGATTTTACGAAGGATTTTCTAATTTATTTAATAATAAAATAAACAAACAAAAAAAATTGAAAAAAGCTATGTTTTGGTTCTTTAAGGGAACGATGAAAAGGCAGTTGTGGGAAAAATATATCTCAAAAGTCAATGAAGATCTTGCCCTGGAAGCCTTTCTATTACCAAGTTGGATATGATCGATTTAAGTTCCATTTCTATTTCTATTTCTAGAAATAATTTTGAATAATACCATATTTCAAGAAAGTATACAATGATAACGAGATTATAGAATAACTTATCAGTTGTTTTCTTTAAATATTGTTTTTAAATTATAAAGCTTGAAATTTTAATTCCTCAAATGATATTGCTCCACATGAATTATCGCAGCAGATAAAATAAAATATATAAAGTTATAATTCAGTTGAGAGATAAGAAAAAGAAATATGCCACAATATTATATTACAACATTGTTGCCAATTATTTTATTTCATTTATTTTTTACCAGATAAGAATAATCAAAAAAGTGAAATTACCTACCGTATTTTTAATTTTTTTTTTTAATATAATATATAGAGTTACTTCATTCCCAAATTAAATTTAAAACATTTTAGCTTCGGTTTTATCGTTTTGTTTTTTTTTTTTATTGTTTTCACAATTTTCTTCTCTTCGTCTCGAAATTCATCATCATTTCCTTGCGCATCGTCATCATCAACCTTTTAGCTCTGTTTGCTATATAATTCCTGCGATAACGGTATTATCTTCACACGCCAACTGCTTTCTCAGTTTTTAATCTTAATTATTCTTAAATACATTAAAAAAATACATAAAATATTTTGTTGGTTTTTGTTGTTGTTGTTGGTTTCAGTTTTTTCTGTTTTGTTTTCTTCTGTACTAAATATTCCATCAGTCCTGCCCATATCTTCTATTTCAAGATCCTGAAAACTCACAAAATCGACTGGAATTTCCGATTTTTTAATTTTTCAAAAGGACTCGAATTTCGAAATGGAGAACAGGACTGCCGTGTATGTATGTGTGTACAATATATAAATAAGCTAACGGTATATTGTTTATATGTTATGTATGTATATGTATTTCTATATAAGTTATGCACTCTCAGATTTCGAAAATTTTTTGAACCATTCGAATTTCGAATTTCCGGCTCACACTGTTTTTCTTCTTCCCTTTTTGTTCTTTTTTATTTGCTGTGTTGTTGATTTTGTGTTTTGTTGTTGGTTTTCTGTTTTCGATAATTTCAAAAATTATTGAATTCGTAACTCTTTTGAAGAAGAAGCGGGAGACAAGTATAGGTAGTTACGGGATGGGGACATGGATTCAAATTTGAATTCGGTTAGACAAGAAAAAGAAGGTGGGTTTCCGGCCACTTGACTAAATATTTTAAAGACTATAATTCTAGACTCTGGTTATAGCCGTTTTTTTTTTGTTTCACTTACTAAATAAAATGCAAAGAATTGAGTTTTAATGCTCTTGATCTTGAACCTAGCCGAGATAAGCTTTCAAAAAGCCAATGGCAGCGTATCCTTTTCAAATTTTCTGTATTTTTACCGATTCAAATCAGTGTTTAAATCATTTAATGAATACTATTTTAACAACAACTAAAAAATTTTAATATCTGCTAGAAATACAAATTTAAAAAGGCAGCTCCTTCGATTTACAATCAAGGTGGCAGCACCAATACATTGCCTAGGGATGGGCAGCTTTCGATTACAAGTCCGATTATTAAAGAACACAAAATTTGAAAAAGACCTGGCCTAGAAAGGCTTTTGGGAAGTAAACCCCATTATTATACTTTTTTGTTTAAAAAAACAGGAGCTGACTGTACTTGGGTGAGATGTGTTTGTGTGTGTGTGTCGTCTGTATCATCTTATTATTCGGCTTTCGATCCAGCGTTGTTGATTTTGATGTTGGTCCTTTCCTGGCTATTTTGGGCTTTTGTTTTTCGTTAGCATATTAATTTTTGCTCGGCATCCACAATTCTCCTCAGTGTATGGCCTGAATGTGTGTGTGTATATGTGAGTGTCTGTGTATCAGCTGCTGGGGCTGCACTGCTTGGCTGCACTGCTTGCGCTTAGAGGCGCTTTGGAATCGTATCGACGGCATTATTCTCAGGCTCTTCGTCCTTTGGGGGCTGACCACGTTGCTGCACGGATCAGCGAATCGGCAAATCATTATCATGGATCATGATTGTACAAGAAGTATATATAATATATAATACACACGTGACACAAAACGGAAGAGAGGAGGAGAGAAAGTAGAAAAAAGAAAGCGGAAGAGAAAGAAGAAACACACACATCAATATCAATCAATCAATCAATTGTGGGAATGTGAATGTGTGCTCCCATTATTTAATTTCAATTAAACTTGACGAAATTTTCCACAAGAAAACAGAATACATTTAATTTTTCTATTAAATTCCGTCAAATTAATTTGAAATTAAATCCTGGAACTGGTGGGTGTGGTTTTTTTCTTTTCCTTTTTTGTTAAAGGATATTGATCTGATTCAACGAAAACAAGAAAGCAAATTAACTTCGGGTAGCCGAAGTTTGTATACCCTCGCAGGGACCGAATCTAAAATCACTGATTTTAAATCAGTCATAAATAAGTCAAAAATGTATTAATTTCAATTTGGAAAACTGTACAGTACTAGCTTTTATGAGGTTAACAAACCTGCATATTTAATTTTAATATTAAAAAAATTAAAAATGTTGATTTTTTGATAGTTTATAATTTTTATATTATTTATGAAAATTAAAAAAAATTCTTGCAAACATATCTAAATCGATTTGGATTTTAATGCTGATCAAGAATATATATGATTTATAGGGTCGGAAATGTTTCCTCTAGAAATTGCAAGCTTCTGTCTAAAATTATAATATCCTGCAAGGGTATAAAAACGCTCGGGGAATAAATAAAATTGATGAAATAGAGATGAATAAATCAGGTGAGAGATCCGGTTAAGTCGGAAGTGATATGATGATATGGATGTCCATTTTCCAGTCTCGCATAAAGCTTGAAGTCTGACTAAACTTCTCTATGTGTGTCTAGTGTCTCTGCGTTTGCCAATATCTGTATCTTAAGTCCTGGGATTAATCAGTATTCATTGCCTCTGAATCGGTCCTCACGATATTTTATATAAAATACAACAAAAAGAGGCATTCAATTTACAATTTAAGTGAAATGTAATTCTAATTTGTAGTCTTATCTATAATCTTTATTTTCAGCAAGGACTCCTTAGTGTAAGTGAGTGAAGCCAGTGATTATCGTGTCTCCGTGTGAACATGAAAATGCAAGCAGTGCCAGGAGTGTGAGAATTGCTCATTTTCTTGAAGGCGAAGGATCCTTCTTACATATTTTCTTAAAGTTTTAAAATCAATTAAACAATAGTAAATAAAAACCAATAAGTTCTCTAAATTATATAATTAAACATTTATTTTTACGTCCTTCAAGAAAATGCAGAGTGTCTGTACATGAGTTGTGAGCAGTGTGCGTGTTTTAGGCCCAGTTATAAGTTAATAATAAAAGTAAACCAATAATGTACAAGATTTAGCATATATATTTTTTGTAATTGTTTATTATGGATTTCGTTTCACATTCGCAGCCAAGCGGGGATAGGAATATATATAAAAATGTGGGGAATATAAAATAAATTAAGGGCCAGGCGGGGTACTGCAGCAGGCAGCTTTGGTCACCGCCAGGTATATGTAGTAGCAAGTGCATCGTCGTTGTGAGTTTATTCGGGATGATGGATCAAGAGATTTATATCCTGTAATTCTCTAAACTCTTTCCTTAAAATCTGTTGAACACAAGTTATAAATAGTATCCCTCTTTCTTACACAAAAAAAAAAAACTAGTCCCCATAACAATTCTTACAAAAATATATTTGAACTCTGCTGTGGTAACACTTAGAAAATATCTGAAAAATTGCAAAACTAAATCTCCTCGGTGTGAAAAAATTTAAAATCATATTTCGATTCCCTTACAAAGAGTAGATCAGGAATTTAAATATTACGAACAACTTTTAGCAATCAAAACTGTCTCATTACTCGGCCTCGGCCTCAGGATCGGGACGACTTAGGATCTCCTGACAGAGTGCAATATAGTCCTGGATTTGGTGCAAAGCATATTATGTATACAGCATATAAGAAAAAGTGAATTAGAAGTAAAAAAAAAAACAGGTTTACATAGAACATGGAACACAGAGGAGCTTGCGGAAATGATCGGAAGCGGAATACACCATCATGTACAACAAATGCAGTCACATTTAACTTAGTATGTCCTAAACACGTTAATTTTATTGTTCCAATTTATTTTAAACATAAAGCTATCTATGTTGATATCCTGGGTTCAAAATTGCATCCTTAATATTCTTCACTTTATCTTTCTGTTTTGCTAAAATCTAGATTTATTTTAAATTGAATCTGGGGACATAAACCTTTATCATTTCGACTACAGCTGTAATAGGATAGGATCGGTGTTCTATAATGACATTTAATGTGGGGTTTTTGGACTCTAATTGAAAATGATACACTGCGTTTTTTATTAAATATCAGTTTCGTTTTTATTTTAGTTATTGTTATTATTACTCTTTGTTCTCCATTATTTTATTTCTCGTTTCGTTTTATTATCTCATTTCTTATTTTATTTTTTCGTTTTTTTTCTCATTATTTATGTATTAATTGTAAACAGTTTTCTGCACACTCTCAGATTAACTTATCAACGGTCCTCGGCCTTTTCTATCGATCTCTATATAGATTTCCATATATATATATATTTATACTTTATTTCTAATTTTCTTAAAAAACTTTCTTTACTTCTCGTTTTATTGTTTGTGTTTTTGTTTATAAATGTTTTTTTTCTTTGCGTTCACCTAATTACGCAAATCTTCGTAGTGATCTTAACAAACAAAAATAATAAAAAAAATGGTTAAAACAAATTAAATCAATTCGTTTTCTTGGCAGAAGAAATGCAATTCTACAATTCTATTACAATTCTCTTAAAATTAGTAATCAAGAAAAGGAAAGAAGTATTTATAAAAAAAAACCCAAAAAGGATTCGGAAATTCTTTAGAATCGATTGGGAATTGGACCCTTAAAAAACTAAGCTACACCGATTAATGCCGCTACAATTTGGAATCGAACTCCGGAACACAACAAAGCCACAGCTATGTATTTGTAACATCATTTTTTTTTTTGTATACTGAACACACACAAAAATCTGCAAGATATATATATATATATATATAATTAAATGCTGGCGCTCTTGGCTTCGTTAATTTATTTCGTTTCGTTTCCATGCTTTTTGATTGATTGTTGAACACTGTCTCACACGGAAATGATTATTGCTTCTGCGAATTGTAAGGCAACACTTGCCGTTTGTGTTTACTCTCATCTTTATTTACTCGGTTACAGTGTGTGTACATAAGTGGGGAAAAAGGATAGCATCTTGCTTTATTGCTTTCCCTTCTCCCTCCCCCCCAAAATTTAATCCCATTTCATATATGTGTGCATCTTACTGCATGCTCATGAATTTAACTGTGTCTGGCTGTGTGTGTGTGTGTGTGTGTGTGTGTGTGTGTGGGTGTGGGTGCAGGTTTGGGTTTGGGTGTGCAAGTGTGCTTGTGCATTTTGGGCTTCGTTCGTCTCGCGTAGCTTGAAGCTGATGATGATGCCTGTGTATGGTATCGCCTTCACTTCACTTAAGCTTCTCATCTTTTCATCTTGTTGTTCTTCTTCTCCTTGTCGGGTCTTCAATCGCTTTCTCCAGATCTGATCTTCTGTGAGATGTTTCTCTGTGTGGGTGTGTGCTGTGGGCATCGGGTGGGTGTGGTGGGTGTATGGGAATTGATTGAATGATTATGTGGACTGTATGTGGATGTTGTTAACGGGTTCTCCTGGCATCGGTACATTTCGGTTTGTTCATCATGTGGATCTTGGCTATTTGCTTAAACGCCTTCTGCTTGCTCTGTTGTGTTCATAGACCTTGGGTTTTGCTGGTATGGGGATTTATACAGGATTTGTTTCATTATTAGCGCTATCGTTTTACATATATGTAAATGCTGATGATCGTTATTTGCTTTTATTTGTTATTATTTGGAAGTACTACGTTGCTTATATCGTTGTTTTCTCTACGTTTAATTACTTTCTCCTCCTACCTTCTGCTACCACTCATTTGCTCTCTCTCTCTTTCTCTCTATATATCTTATTCTTGCGCGCACACACACACAGTCCCTCTTTTCTGTTCTCCTTGTCTCTGTCTAATTCGAATCTCTTTTGTTTGTTTTTGCATTTTATTTCTTTTTTTTTTTGGTCAAGTGTTGCACTGCCAGTGTAGTACAATTTCACAAACAAACAAACAAAAACATATAGACATCAAAGGCGACAAACGAGCGAATATATAAGGTGTTTAAACACAAGAAATCGGTTAATTGACTAAAGCAAATAATATATATTATATATACGAGTGTGAGTGTGTGTGTTTCTTGTATATATGGGTTAGTGTTCGCCACTAATATTAAAAGCTAACATAATTATCGAATGTCTGCTCACACAATTTATATATAATTGCTTTATATATATATATATCTTAAAAGAATTGCAAGTGTACAATATATATATAAAAAAAACAAAAACAAAAAAGTATTAAAATCGCATTTCCAGATGAGCTAATTATGAATGTTTGTTGTGTGTGTGTGTATGTGTGTACGTGTTGTGTTTGTGTAACTCAAGAAGGATCTTCTTCATCTCACTTTCTTTCTGTAATACATTTTCTACAATTCGTCACATTTCTCGTCTTCTCTTCTTTACTATGAGCTTTCTCTTATCATTCTTTTTTGCTTTTGTGTATAATATAAACGCAGTTTGGTTTTGTTTTTGTTTCTTTTTTTTAGTTTTTATATTTGTAAAAATGATTCTTTGCTCCTGGCGCTCAAAACCTCAATACAGTTGTCTCTCTCTCCGTCTCTTTCTCTGCTCTTCTCTTCTCTCTGTCTCTCAGTGTGGTTGTGGTTGTTGTTGTGTTGCTGTTGTTGGTTGTGTGTTGTTGCTGTCTATTGGTCTTGCCGTTGTAAACTATATCCGTATTTTACGTTTTTTTTTTCAATAAATTTGTTTTTTTTTAAGTATTTGTTTGTGCATGAAAATGTAATGGATTGTTTGTTTGTTTGTTTGTTGTTGTTGTTGTGTTCGTGCGTATGTGTGTTGTAGTTTTGTTGTTGGTGTGTGTGTGTGTTTATTTTTTTAATTGAATTAGTTTTTCTACACACAATGTCATGAAATCGATCATAAAGGATCGAATAGGATATAATAGTTATTCGTGTTTTGGTTTTGAGACGGGCAGAGACACGATTTTGGATTCATATCATTATCGTTTTCAGGTTCAGGTTGAGGTTGAGGTGGTTGTCGATCGGATTTATATGGATGTTTCGATTTGATATTTTGGTTTGTGGTGGTTTTTTTTTGTATGTGTGGGGAGAGAAAACAAATAAAAAAAGATATAATATATATATATATTATGCTTGGTTGAATGATATTAGGTGGCGATTGATTTTTTTTAGTCATTATATAGAAAAAAATAGTACAGAAACAGAAACAGAAAAAAAGGATGAGAGAAAGTGAGTGGTAGTAGTGATGGAATGGGTTAGGGTTTCGGAGAGGGTCGTCAAGTTAATAAATAAATAAAAAGAGGGTCAGAAAAGACAATAAACTAGTTATTAATAGGTTTTAAATTTACCGCTCGCAGTGGCATTTTGAAATTGGCTGCTGCCTGCAGCTGAATTTGATAAGCTAAGCTGTGTATTTTAAAGCCATACAGCCTGTAAGTTATCCATGGTCGGAGTTGTTGTCGTACATAAAAAAGATACACAAGAAGAATATATAAGTATATGTGAATCTTGTTGTGAATGCTAGTCAGGACTTACCTTGGAACAAACTGATTAGTAGGACGCTTGGGACGATACTCGGGATGCACCATAAAGAGCATGTGTGGAAATCCAGTGCCAAAATAGGCCCCATCGGTGTGATGGTGGCGCGACGATTTTGGTGTATACACATCAATGCACTTGGGGCAATAAGTCTTCACCATTGCCTCGCCGGGGATGTCCGACAGACCTGCAAGAAAATCAATCAATCAGAGGTAAGTCATAGTATTACAAAGAATATATAAGCGATTAACCAAAACCAAAATAAACTAGACTGAGGTGTCGGTTTCAAATTCGATGTAACTGTGCCAGAAGTTCGGATTTCTACCTGGTTTTCTAGAAATATGAAAAAGTCGCTGTTCTAACATTTTATAAATATTTTGATAAGGGGAGAACGTGCTCCAACATATCTAATTTCTCATAAGCTCCCATAATTCAGGGCAATAAATGCAATAAAACTTGCTTCACTGTTGCTCTTATACAAATAATTAAAGCTCTGATTCAGTCAGAATAATACTTATGTATTGTTGTGCGTCTTGTGGTAATGTTCTTGGGAAATAAACGAATTTAAATCAAAGCCAACGACTTTCTAGTTCTGACTGTAATTCAATTCGATCATATGGCAGACCTTTGTTTGATTATAAAGGAAGGAGATTCGCGTGATAGGATCAATGGGATCAATTAATGTGGTTTATATACGAACCCAAGGGCAACATGGGCTGACTTTCGCAGTAGACACGTGGGCAGTGCCCAAAATCGCCAGTTTGATATTTCTCGATCATTTGAGCGATGCCGCGATTTGTTAGTATATATCTAGCGTGTATGAGGCCATAGAGCATCTCGGCGGCCTGCTCCGTCATATCGGACTGCAAAGGATTGTCCTCAAGCTCGTCCTCTGTGCGCAAATAGAGAAGAAGTTATATTAATTTAAGATTTAAGGTGGCCTTCAGTGGCATATTCAAAACTTACCCGGTTCCAGATCCAAGATCATGTCCAAAGCCTGACGATAGTTGGGCACCTGCTCATTTAAACCAGTTAAATTAAATTTATCTTGAATGTAGTCCTCGTCCACCTGCAAAATGGAAATACAATAATTTTAGCAATTGGTTCACAGTATGGTAAATCAAAGGATATAAACTAGGAACTAATTAACCATTGTAGATGGCTTATAAATAAAATAATATGTACTAGAGAAATTGCTCTGCTCTGCCTACAGATTGAGTATAGTTTTCAGGTAGAAACTAGCAGAAAAACCCCTTTATGAGAAGGCTTAAAATATAATTAGTGCTTAAATGTCTTGTAATTCTGCGTATTTGAATGGAATTTCCTTAAATTTGATAACAATGCTTTAAAGACTTTCTTTTCAAACCTGTTAAGGTGTAAGGTTTTTAAGGTTTTTAATCACATTTTTGGAATTCCTAAACCCAAAATCTGTAGCTAAACAAGCTTTCTTGGATTACCAATGCAAAAATTAACGGTGTCCTAGGTGACTAGGATCTGTCAAGGATTATGCTGTCAGAGGACAAAGCTGGAATCTTGAAAGTTGGAAAACCAAAACAGTTCTTTATGGCGAGAAGTGTGACCATTTGGGCAAAAGTTAAAATTGAATGTTGCCAATTCTTGTTTTTTAATCGGATGTAGTTTCTTATTGTTGTAATAATACTATCTTTGGCTGTGTGTGTGTACAGTTGGCCACACAATTGCCCCACCTTGCGGCACACACGCACACAAACACATAGATGGGCGCGCAGCAGCTCAGGGCTGCACTTTGCAATTGTTGCACTTTTGCAGCACGAATGGCGCGCGCTTAGATAACAAATATAGATATTTGTGAATTGGCAAAAGGGGGACCAAAGCGGGACCAAGACACTAAAGCAAGGAAAAGCAATACTAAAAACAAAACTCACCTCGCAGAAGAACTCATTGCCACGAAGTCCACAGAACCACGTAACCCAGGAAACTTCTTCGGAGCTGCTCATTTTGCTGGAAAATCAAAGGATGAAATCGAAATGAATATTTCAGACGATACAGGCAGCTTAATATTCGGACAAATTGTCCTGCACGCATACACAGGCACACATATACGCTCACACACACACACATACAGCGGCACGCTCACGCATTCGCACACAGACACGCCAGCACACGCACTATTACATACATTAGGGGGATTATTTTGCGTAATTTGGCCTGGCGAGCGGAATTTATTGTCGAAATACCATGGAACGCAAACTTAACGAATACAAACGAGTATCGAAACTTTTGCGTTGACGCGATTACTTTTGTTTCTTTGCTTTTTTGTTAGGTTGCTCCTCCTTTTGGCTCCGTTTTTTCGTTTCTTCTCCGCTTCTTGTTGCTTGCTCGCTATTCCGCCACACCACACACACTCCACACTATTTCACCGCTTGCAGTTCGCCGTTTGCTAGTTGCGCTTTTTATTTTCACGACGAGCTAAATTTTTGTGAGTTTTATTTGTTTGCTTTTTCTGTGTTACTTGTTTCGGAGATCTGGAGAATGAATGTGGGGAAATGATGTTTTATACTCGTATTTTGACAAGCGCTCATACAAAATGTGCCGAGCAGTAGCAAGAAGAAGCAGCACCGTGTGGAAATTAAAAAAAAAAGAGACACATATACAGGCCCACCATACACACGCACACACATGCACGGGGCCAGCACAGGGCCACACAACACAGACGCAAGCACACACACACGAGGAGGGAGTGCGTTTTTCGGTAGAATTGCCGTCGCGGCTGCGCTCCAAAGGCTTGCACTCACCTAAATTGTTATTAATTACGCGAATTGATTAGCGTTTGCAATGCAGCAGAACCGGTAAAGGCAAATATTGTAGCGAAGACGGGGTACCAGGTATGCAATCGCGCCTATCGATAAGCGCTGCCTGCGCTGGTGTGCGGCAAGGCATATCGCTCGCCGGCCATCCCTATATAAATATTGTTCGATATATCGCATGTAAGTTTTGCAACACTTTTCTAAGTCATGTTACCTTGATGGTTGTTTTTTTTTTTGTTCCGCCATTGTCAATGGCGTATTTTTGTTTTCCACATTTTACAACACTTAAAGCACGGTAGTCCGCTTAAAAGCAATGAGAGAGAGCGAGAGGCAAATAGTTGAAAGCCCTGTACAGAGACATAAAATTAAAAATACTAGAAAGGAAATACTAGGATGGCGTTAGGAGATTCTCGACGGCACACTTTTCGTATTTCTCGAGCGACTTGCAAAAATAAAAACAATTTCGCAGCTATTTGCCTCTCGCTCTCACTTGCAGCCCCCTTTCACATTTTAAATTATAAATCCCGCCATGAACAAATATGTGCGGAAAAGATGAGAATTATAATTAAATTAGTACAGGGAAATACAATATTTTGGGGTTTTTGGCAGCCAGGACACCACCGCTAGAACACATGTACATCGCTTTGGGAAAAATATTATTGAAAAACAAACGTGTCTTAAATTTTTAAAAGAGCCGGTTGGACAAAGTATGACCTGGAACATTTGCCCTCCAAAAATGCTAAAAAACTAGTGAAAACTATCAATTGAGAAGTCTGCTCTTTTGATTTGGCAAATTTGACATTTGATTTGAATTATTTTGTTATAATAAATAGTTTTTATATTCTAGTTAATCGTAATTGCTTAAAATATTTGTTGAATTATTATAACAGCTAGTGTGGCCATACTCTTCGAGTCAGCAGCTACAGAATTTGGAAGTTATCGATATTTGGCGGACTACCAAATTTAAAAATTCAAAATTATAAATTTTGTAACTGTTGAATATCAAAACAAACAACATTTGCTAAATTATAAAGTAGAAAAGGTTAGATATTAGATAAGAGTAAAATATACTGTATGTTTTGTTTTATTCGTAGAGAAATAAGTACAATTTAAATGTGCTATGTGGATTCAGCATTATTTTGCCTGATAAAGGTAAATATATATAATAATTATATGGATAAATTGAAATGTTGCGACATACTTTTTAATAGATATTTATTTATTTTAGCAGGTATTTTACCGTCCCAGCTTATTGACCAGCTTAAATATATCCCTGCCATTCTGGCGACCGTTTACCACGTATGCCAACGGATCGTCCTGGCTGGACTCCATCAGGTTGTCGCACGATCCCTGGCCAATATCGAACATAAACGACTTGTCAATGTCCTGCGGCAGCTTGCCACGCAAAAAGCTTATCTCATTGTCGGCCAGCGACGGTTTTCGGGCCAAAAGCAAAGCGGACAGGTACCGTGGATGCTTTTTCTTTTCGGCGCAGTGCATCACCAGGCCCCAGGTGTCGTAGTCCGTGTCCAGCACGTATGTGTTGTAGACGCCCTCATCTGGTAAATATAAATATTGTAAATATTTCAAATCTCCTTGCTAAATAATTATTTATTTCCATATTCCTTAAGAGAATCACTCACATATATCCTCGGTGTGCTGCCAGTGACCCGGCTCCTCGAACTTTGGTATCATCCAGGTGATATTGCCCACCAGCTTCTCACGTAGCGGGTCCTCCGCAAAGATGTAGCTGAAATTCATGGTTATCTGGTCGGAATTTAGTTACTATAAAGCAATTATATGGCAGCGAGTAGAGGCAGAGACTACCTACATGCTGATCCTCCTTGGAGAAGGTGAAGTGACTGCGCATACAAGCATATTCCGGAAGTTCCTCTGTGGAAGCATAGTACTGGACCACATGCCAACAGCCCATCATACGTTCCAGATCAAAGTTCTTAATGGCACCAACCTGTGAAAATTGAAGCTATGCTACAAATTGTTGCATTGTGAAATAGGGATAAACCAGAAATAGTCTGCAATTGAAGTATAAGATCAAATCGAAAATTGATCAAAGGTAAGCCTAAAATTCGCATTAATTGAATCGGGATTATCTATATTTTTATAAGGCAAAAAACCACATATTTAATTTTTCAAAAAGTCATAACTAAGCTAAAAATGCTTTAATTCTAATTCGGAAAGCTGTCTTATGTTAGTTTTTATAAGGTTATTAAATCTGCATACTCAGATTAAAATTTAAACCTTTTTCAAATTTTGACAATTTTAACGATTCTTTCTTCCTTTCCTTTTTTGAACAAAAATTGAATTTTTTTGAAAAATTTTTTTTTTCTCCCGAAGATGGCTAGAAAGATTCGCCTGTTCATGCTGATCAAGAATATATATGATTTATAGGGTCGAAAATGATTCCTTAACCGAGTTTTAGGCTTCTGACTGAAGTTATTATACCCTGCAATGGTATAAAAATAGGTTTAATTGCATGGATTTTATTGAATACTTTTAAAGACCTTTTAAACGGATCTAAAAATTGAAGATTATTTTAATATAGAGAGTGCATCAAATAAAAAAACAAAACTAAAGATTATATAATGTTTTAAAGGTCAAGGCTGCCAAATATTCCGGCAATAAGTAGTGTAACAAATAAGCAGAATAAACATTTGGGCCACAAAAGCGTTTTGGGCTTGCTTCTTGCCCTAGCCTCTCCTTAAAACTTGGCTAGTTTTAGTTATTTACATTGTGTTTTACCTTGGCGACCGCAAAACAAACTTTGTCGGGAGAAAGAGTAAAGAGGAGACAGACGAAAAGAAAGAAAAAACGAAGAGGGAGAGAAAAGAAATAGAAGCGGCAGGCAGACGACGAAAGCCGTTAGCGCTGTCACTGTGATTGACTACTGACAGTTCATTGAGGAGTCGGAGTCGGAGTTGGAGTCGCTATTGCTATCTCTTTTGACTCGGCTATTGCCATCTCTTTCGCCGTCTCTCCAGTGGAAGTTGCAAGACGACTTGCAGACGGAGACGAAGATGGAGCAGACGGCAAAATGCAGACGCAAGTCAGCCACTGATTGATGCGCCTCAAAAGCGCAACGCTCCCCCCTTATTCACTCCCCTTTTTGCCACCTCTTTGTTGCACTCTCCACTCTCCACTCTCCTATGTGCGTGCCTTTTGTCTATTCTTGTTGATTGTTTTGTGGCTTTTGGCTCGCTTTTCGGTGGTATTTGTATTTGTGGGCTAGGTGCACCTGCAACGAAGTGCAATTGTCGCCGCCAACGGTGAAGAAGGGGTTGAAGAATTGCTGTAGAAAGAGATGGAGGCAGAGCAGAAGAGAGAGAGAGAGAGAGAGAGAGAGAGAGAGAGAGAGAGAGAGAAAGAGCAAGAGCAGAGACATAGAGTTGGGGTAAACTTCATGCAGACGACGTCTGAGCCACTTAGAAAGTGTGATTGATTTTGGCAACGGTGTGAGCCCATTTCTTCTGCCTTACTCTTTCTGCGCCTCGCTTTTATGTCCCATTCATTCTTCCAGCTAGAGATGGAACGTGCCCCATTGAGCGTTTGGAAGGTGAAATAGTTCCAGGTGGGGCACTTAACCCCGACCATAAGATACCCAGTACGTGAAATACCATCAATTTGCTGACTTCGTTTTTTGGAAACAGTTGGGAATTATAACTTAATGTTGATTGTAAGATTCTTTATATGAGTTTAGACAGAAAATATACTAAATATAATTCAAGACTTCAGGTTATAGGTGGAATTTCTAAGTTTCTAACATCCTTAAGTAAAGCTTTTCATTATATTATAAATAATCTATTTACAATACACTCATTTTTTCCTTCCCGAAAGCACTAAAAAACTTGCTACCCTGTACTCTTAACGGCATGATGATTTCATAAGGAGCCGCCTGACTTTAACTGCAAAGGGGCGATTTTACGAGAAAATACAATCGTAATTCAATTTGAAATATAGCCATGACCATAGACCATAGACCAAAGACCACATAGACCTGGCATAGACATCGGTTTTATAGTCGGTGTCATCGCTAGCGTCTGTGATATATGCATGCAAGTGACCGTGTGCCCGGCATATTGATGAGCCCCACAGCTTGTTTGGGATGGGAATGGGGATTGGGGTTTGGGGATGGATGCTTAAGCTCCACACCGGCGGCTGTGCTCAGAATGAAATCGAATTGAATTGTGGCCAAGAAGAAAGTGATCCAGTTAGAAGTAGCCAGGCCAGGCCAGGCCAGGCCAGGCCAGGCCAGGCCAGGAACGTGACCAGGGAAGGGAGCTGTGTCCCGTCCATCAAACTGCAACTGCACCCATGTGCTATTTCAATAAGATCTCGTTTTTATTTATTCTCGGTCTAGAAATTTAGATTTCTTTCAAATCAATTTAAAAGTAACCTAACAGAGAGTGAAGTTGTTGGTAATCATGGTTCTAGAAATACTCCTAATCTCGAAGATGAAACTCACCTGGGGACATCGATTGCTGGGCCTGGACCGCCTCCTGGTCTGATGAGCATTACTATTCTGTCTGGTATACAGTGAGGCCTCCACTGTCCAAAGGAGTTCAAGGATCAAAATTCCGGAGAGCAGGATCATCAAGAGTGATCCATTGCCATAGCCCATGATGGGACTATCGATGGTGTTTCTATGGGGTTTTACCGGGTTTTTCCTGGAATGTTCTTAGAGTACTTCTGGAATATTATATTATAATATCTGGTGTAATATATTCGCTATTTAGTTAGACTTCCGGCACGCTGAGACGAGCGATCGCCGCACTGTTTACGATGGCACTGCGCCATCTCATCTCCGCCACCAACTTGCGACAAATATATATATATTTTTGTATATAAAAATATATATATAATACCATCGGATCGTAGCGGAAAGCACTCGGGAACTCGGATTCGGATTCGGATTTTGGATTCGGATGCTTTTGCGGATAAGAAGGCGCCTTCTTAATGCCACAGCAAAGAGTTCTATGGAAAATAGCGCTCATTATCGGGGAGCTGGAAATACAAAATACGAAAAAAATGCACCATTGCTGAGCACTTGGCCGATTTTTGACTATATTTAGCAAAATATTTCAAAATCAAATCAAAATTATAAATAAATAATAACCTTTTCACATAGCAGGTGCTGGGAAAAGCCATTAAAGCATTTAAATATAATTGGGAACGCTGTTTTTCTAATAAAAATAAGTAAGGAAGTAGTTAACTGGAAAATTGGGAAGTAGATAATAAAGAAAGTAATTAAGTAAAAAGTAATTAAGAAATTAAGTGAATAAGTAAGTAAGTAAGTAACTAATTAGTCAAAAAGTAAATAATAATAGATTGTATCTTAGAGATACTATGATACTATGCCACCTTCCAGGACTTCCGAGATTTACTGCCGTTCCACTCCCTTCCAGATCTCTCTCTCTCTCTCTCCCTTTTTTAGATTTTTTATGGTCTCCTACTAGTTTACTTCCATCAGCCTTGGAACCCTAGATGCTGCTTCTGGCTCATTTCCATATTGGAATTTAATCAGCAGAAGCGCCGCTTTCTGGTAGTGGGGGTGAGTAAGCCGGGCGGTCGCTCTCTTATCAATTACAACGTCCGTTCGCTAGCAGAGTCCCCAGTCAATGCCTTCCACAGACGCAAACAAACACACTCATACACACATACACACACTTGCTGCATAATGTCTGGGATCGGGGGAATTATTTTCGGCTGCACTTGACTCGTTTTCACTTGTCGCGTGGATGCAGGCAGATTTCCAGGCAACTTTCTCGCCGCGGAGAGCGAATTTTTTTTTTTTTTTTTTTTTTTTATGTTGATGGTAAGGAGGACGAGGGTCGAGGGTATGTTTCTGGGGAGTGCGTGGAACAGGAAACATTTTAATAGCCAGCAAAATTTATTCTTTATGATCGCCAGAACGAACAGTGCACCGTTGAACACTTTCTCTTTATTGCGAAACGAGTTGCGCGGCATTTTCACGACCGGACTGGAATGAAACTGGACATCCTCGGCGAGGTACATATAGCTATTGGCCACTTTTGCGGCAGCCTCTTCTTCTTTGCCTTCTCCTTGGCCAATATCTGTTTTCTTCCGCCTGCGTCTGGTCTTTCCGTGAGTGAAGAAATACCCATTAGTTGGGGGTATGCCGGGTACGGGGTAACAAGTGAGAAGTGTTTTAAATAAATTATTTCTTTGTGTTTGGAGAAATATTTATTATACTTTTTAAATAATTTCTAATTTCTTTTGGAGAAATATTTATCATACTTATTACATTACATTATTATTAGCTCTCTTAATATAGAGAGTATAAAATATTTTATAGTTATCCTTTAAGTGCTGAATATCTCCTAGTCGTCTCCCTTTGCCTTTGGCTAATTCTTGTTTTATTTTTTCCATCTATGTGTTTTTGTTTTTGTTTTATATTTTTTCAGCCTTTTCTGTTAGTTGATGCTGCTTTTGGCGTCTGGTTTTTTGTTAAGCCAGCCCAAAAAAGCGGCGCAACTTTCGTCGCCGCATTGCGTTGCATTGCGATGCGTTAGCGCCCAGTTCCGGCTTCTACGGTGGCTCCTTCTTTTCACCAAGCCCCCCTCTGTACTCCCCTGCACTCTCCAGCCTCCTTTCTTCGCACTTCCCCCCCTCGATCTCTCTCTATCCCCGCTTCTCACCTGACGCACCGCCAAAGCGAAAAGCGGCTTTTAATGCTCAAGCGAAACGAAACGAAATGGAATAAAAGGCAAAAGCAATTGGAGAAATGTCGCCTGCTGCAGCGCACTTAACTCCTTTGGCGGTGCTCGTTTACAGCTTCCCCATCCTCCCTCCCTCCCCTCCCTCCCACTCCACTCACTCTCTTTTGGGCAGTTCCTGCTCTCTTTTGGGAAAAGCATGTAAGCTTAAGTGTGTATGTGTGTATGTATGTATGCGTGAGTGTGTGTGTGCGAATGAATGAAATCGCTAATCAAGGGAATGGATCAAAAGCCAAAGGCAATGGGAAGTTTCCCATACGCATTAACCCATATCTGTTCAATGAAGCTTATTTGACCCAATTATTTTAAGGCAGTTTAAGGAAGTTTGGTTGTTAATGGTTGTTATCTGATCTTAAATCTGGAATAGGGAAGTTTCTGTGGGAATTATAATATTTTCTATATTTTTTGTAACGATTTGTATGATAATTCCTATGAAAATCCGTTATATAGAAACTATATAAGTCACCTGATATATTTTGCTGATCGCACAGCACATGAAAGTGGGGGGTACTGAGTCATTGGAATGCGACTGACACGCCCAAAAAAAAAAAAAAAACAACCACAACCAGCAGGTGTTACAGGTGAGCTACAGGTGACAGTTAGTCAGTCAGTCACCAAGGCAGACGGAATGTCTGGCGCGGCATGGCAATGGTTTTTGGATTGGAATGTCAAACGTTTATTTGCCGGTAATTAAATTTGAAAATGATTTAAATTTCACCTAGCGAATATTTCAAATTGGTCTTAACACTTTCTTCTTCTCGTCTCCAGCAACAAAAAGGAAAAAAACAAGGCTCTCTGGCCAGAGGCCCACCCGCAAGCGCAAGTGGATGACCCACCTGGTCCCGTGTCTCCACCATCCCGCTCCTCCTCATCTCCTCCACCTGCTTGGAAGCAATCCGGCTGATTGCAGATTTGTTTTCTATTTGCAATTGATCGATGCGATGGCTGGCTTGGCCAGCAGCAAACAACGACAGCCTCAGTCAGTCACATGAAATTGGCAAAAAGACTGAAAACAAAAAAACAAAAAGGTAAGAAAAATCAAAAAAGTTAACATAAAAATTGAGTTGGACGTCCACGTCCACGTCCGGTGGGTTCGTTAATGGCATTCCTAACTTGGATCATGCCGATGGATTCAATGGTCAGCAAACTTTCAGCTCAGGAAACCCTGAAGATTAAATATATTTGAATTGTTTTAAAAAAATATAGATAAAAAACGATTCAATGAATGCGAATATTTTAGGCTTATCTTTGAACAATTTTTGATTTGATCCTATATTTCAAGTGCAGACTGTTTCTTGTGTATCCCTATTTTACCATGCCACAATTTGTAGCATAGCTTCAGACATTTCTAGGGAAATTAAAAAAAAATAATTATTGAGATACTGTTAAATCTGTTAAATCGATAATCTTAAAATTAAATATTCACAGTTAGAGGGTGGGTTTTGTATAGATATATAAATTAATTAGGTTTTTGAATAGTTTAAAGCAATTTAGGAAATTAATTTGTATGGGATTACATGGCGTATGAGTATTATTTTCAAAGAAGCTTCATGGTTTTCAAGATTTTAATGAGAAAACAATTTTGTTTTCTTTAAAATACTAAAAATTAAGTGTGTTTTTAAATATATTAAGATTAAAAGATAGAGAAATCTTTAGAAAAATCCTAAAAGTATCCAACGATTAAGTAGTTTTATACCCTTTCAGGGTATTCTCCTTTACTGGGTTAACTTCTTTTGTTTTTAATTATTTAATATGTTAAAAATCATAAATTTGATGGCCAGCCACTGACGGGCGGCGCCCAAGGTCCTCTGCCTGAATCTTCATCCAGCAATCAATATTGTCTCCTAAAAATTCATATTTTATTTAGTTATTTATATAATATATAATTTATTTATATTATTTCCTTATTTCCTTATTTTCCTATTTCTCAGACTCCCACTCGCTCCCACTCAATGTGCCTCTCCCTCTCACTCTCCCTCTCTGTGCATCTCTAGAGATACACTCTATATGGCTCTCGCTAACTCTGGAGTTCTCTATTACTCTCCCGCTCTCAAATTCTCTGTTCTCTTGCCTCGCAGCCTATAAATAGCGGCCTCTGCCGCCTTGCGCACCTCATTCAGTCCGTGGCGTCTCCAGTGTTAACATCTCGAGTGATAGTGAAAGTGCCTGCCCTTCGAGCCGAACAATATGACGTGGCCCAGGATGACCAGCAAGAAGATTGAAGTCACCGGAAATGGAAATCTACACTGGAAGCAATTGAGCAATGACGAAAGCGGATAGCCACGTGTCCTCCACTGGGGTAAGTTTTGACCATGATAAATATATTATGTATATAGATACTAATTAAGTGATTAGGCCTAGGGTTAAAATCAACTCTGCTTCTTGCTATGCATTTATTTTCCCAATTTACTTACTTATTTCCATGGATCTGATTCTTGAATTATAATTTAAAGTAATGTATCAACAGCATAACTTAACTATATATTATACACAAATAGTGATTTCTTACCCTGACAATAATTTTAAAACTAATCCTGACTTTGGCGACATATTTTGCAAGATTATTATAACCTCTTCATGGTTTTATAATTTAAGACAGAAGCTTAAAACTAAGTGAAGGAGTCATTTCCGACCCTTTAACTCATATATGTTCTTGATCAGCATAAACAGGTGAATTATTCTAGCTATCTCCTGCAGGAAATAAATGTTTTTCAAAATGTTTCGATTTTTTTTTAAAATAAGGAAAGGGGTTACATCGATAAAATTTTCAAAAAATTAAATTAAAATTAAATTAAACTGAGTATGCAGATTTATTAACCTAATAAAACTAATATAAGACAGCTTTTCGAATTATCCCTGTTTTACCGTGCCGCAATTTGTAGATATCTGTTGCATTCTCATTAATATTAAAATTAAATTTTTACAGTTCAAGGAGGAATTTTGTATAGATATATAAATTAATTAGAATTTTGAATAGCTTAAAGATAATTTAGGAAGTATTTGTATGGGACTACATGGTGTATGAGTATTATTTTAAAATGAAACTTCATTTTTTCAAGGTTTTAATGAGAAATCATTTATGTTTTCTTTAAAAAATAAAATAATAAGTGTAGTTTTGCATGTATTAAGATCTAAAGATACAGAAATCATCACAGACTTGAAATACTTTTAGAAACATTCTAAGAATATGCTACGATTTTGTAATTAAGTAATTTTATACCCTTTCAGAGTATTTTTCTTCTCTGAGTTCACTTCCTTTTATGTTTTTTGATTATTTAATTAGTTAAAAAGCAGAATTTTTACTTTAAATATAAACAAATATTGTAACAAACCCACGCCGATAATCATTGATGGCCACCACCAAAGTCAGCGTGGAGCCAAGTGGTTCAATCCCACTGACGGGCGGCGCCCAAGGTCCTCTGCCATGCTGAATCTCCATCCAGCAGTCAACATTGTCACCTGAAAAATGCATATTTTAATTAGGTATATATATAAAATGTATGTATATTGTTTCCCTATTTCCTTATATCTCTATTTCTCAGACTCCCACTTGCTGCCACTCTATGTGCCTCTCCCTCTCATTAGCTCTATGAATCGGCTCAGGATCACTCCCCTCTCTGTGCATCTCTAGAGACACCCCTTTCCCTCTATCTGGCTCTGCCTAACTCTTGATTCTCTATTTCTCTCCCTCTCTCAAATTCTCTGTTCTCTTTCCTCGCAGCCTATAAATACCGGGCTCTGCCGCCTTGCGCACCTCATTCAGTCCGTGGCGTCTCCAGTGTCAACATCTCGAGTGATAGTGAAAGTGCCTGCCCTTCGACCCGAAAAATATGACGTGGCCCAGGATGACCAGCAAGAAGATTGAAGTCACCGGAAATGGAAATCTACACTGGAAGCAATTGAGTAATGACGAAAGCGGATATCCACGTGTCCTCCACCGGGGTAAGTCTTTACCATGAGATATCATATTATTAGCATAGATACTAATTAAGTGATTAGGCCTATTTTAAAATCAGCTGTGTTGCTATCTATGCATTTATTTTCCCATTCATTGCCTTATTTCCATGGATAAATTCTTGAATTCTAATTTAAAATAACGTATTAACAGCCTAACTTAAATATATTTTAACTTTACTTTACCTTTACGATAATTTTAAAACTAACCTTGACTTTGGTGACAACTTCTGCTATATGATTATACCCTTTAAGTGTTTTATAATCCAGTCAGAAGTATACAACTAAGTGAAGGAATCATTTCCGACCCTATAAATCTTATATATTTTTGATAAGCATCAAAAAGCAAATCTTTTTAGCCATCTCCTGGAGAAAAACTATTATTTCATTAATTTTCCATTTTTTTTTCAAAAAAAGAAAAGGGGTTACATCGTAAAATTTTTAAAAATTGGCTAAAAATTTGAATTTTAAATTAAGTATGCAGATTTATTCATCTAATTAAAACTAATCTAGGAAAGCTTTCCGAATTGAAATTAATGATTTTTTGGCGGAGTTAAGCAATGATCAAAATTTTATTTTTTTGTAAAAATTGAAAAGATCTTTTAAAAAGTGTAAAAGTTATAGATTTTTCCTATGGCAGCTATATATATATATATATATATATATATGTATATACATATATATTGTTCACCGATTCGGCATTCTCCGATTTTTATAATAGTAAAATTATATAGACGAATAACTCCATAGTCTCATTTAAACAGCTTGCTCTTAAATTTGTTCCAAATCAAATCTCGCACATGCGTGCATATGATTCCCAACTAGTTCTAACATCCCCGGAACGAAGTGACTGCTGCAAGCCAAGTCTTAGAAATGTGTTGTGTTACAAAAGTTGCAAGTCATTGTTTATAAGTGTTCAAAGTTAGTAACGGATCATACATACTTACTGGTCATGGATACTTAATGATCATAGTTACTTACTGGTTCAGCGTTATTTACTGCTCATAGATACTTACTTTTCAGAGTTACTTAATGTTCATAGATACTTACTGATCATAGTTACTTACTGCTCATAGTTAATTACTGGTCATAGTTGAAAGATACTTACTTACTTACAATACATTTAAGAACTGACACAGAAGTTATATTATACAGTATTCCGATTTTCATAAAACTAAAAAAGAAATTCTACAAGGGTATAATAAGTAATTCTGGAGTGGCTGGCACCTTCTTCTCCTTCACTTTTGGGTGCGTGTACCTTGGAGAGTGTGTGGGATTAGTTCAAGTGCAGCCAGTGCTCAGGTGCTCCACTCATCATGGCACTTGGCGCATGATACACCTTAGGTCTTGAGCTACACTGAACAATATTAATATAATTAATAGAAAGGTTCATATATTTAATGAAATATGTACTATATGCTGATCAAGAATATATGTGATTTATAGGGCCGGAAACGATTCCTTCACTGAGTTTTACGTTTCTGACTGAAATTGAATACCTTAAAAGGGTATATTATAAAGCTTATATAAAATTTTGTTGATATTAAGCTCTTTAATATTTTCCATATATTATGTTCAACTTTTCTGCAATATACACACTATTTATTAAATATTTGGTTGAGTTTCTATTTATTTACATACATTTTCCAACTGATTCTATTAGTAAAAGGACTGATGACAATATATTGAAGCCTTTGAAGTTTATTGTCTATTTTTAATGTATTTATTTATTGGAAAGGTTAATATATAAATTCCTAAATCCAAATTGAATATTTAGGTGTATTTCTTGGCTATTTTCAATATGTATTAAATTTTTCCTTTCTACTTTTATTTTTTCTATTAATTTATATATATTTTAATAGTAAAAGATGACTGAGAACAATTTTGGGTTGTGTTTTGAAACGGCTCTTTGCATATATTGAAGCCTTTAAAGTTTTTAATGTATTTTAAATGTATTTTATTATTTTTATTTTCGATATATATATTCCTATAATCTAAATTATTATTTTCCAGTGCAACTCTTGGCTAGTTTCGCTCGCTCGTTCAATTATGCCGCGACACACACTCCTATAGAAAATTGTCCAGGGAGGTGGAAGATCCGAGGCCTCTGTGCGTGCCCTTCCCATGGCCACCATCCATCACCTGGCGGCGGCAACAACGACATGGACATGGTCTCGTCTCAAGTCCGAGGCCGGGCATAACCCATCAAGTGAGTTCCGTTTTGTTTGCGCATGCGCGGCGCGCATTCAGCATCGATATTTCACGATCGTCGTCGACGGCGGGGGTTTTTTTTTATGGCAATAGAGATGAAAATATGGAAACGGGGAGGGGGAGGAGATGCAATGCCGAGATGGAAGCGGAGGAGATGGTGGCCACTTCGTGCTGCTATTTGGTGGTCCGCGATTTTGTTTTCATTTGGAAAGTGGGTGTGTTTGTCTAGCTGTCCGAGACCGGCGGCTTCTCTATTTTGGAGGAAAAAGGGGGAAAAGCCTAGACTGGGCCCTGGGAATGTCCGTTGTTTTTCTGTTTATTTATTTTGTTGTTTTTCTTGAGGGGGAGGTCAAAAAGCCTCAAGTTCGAGGAATGTGTGTGTTTTTTGGTCAAAGGAAAGTGATCTACGAGTGATGTGATCTTTCTAATACGAGGTCTCTTCGTCCGGAATGAGGAGGTTAAGTGGGTGAGATGGGAGTCAAGTGGTTGTATTCACCTCTAAAAGGTGGCCCCTCAAATAGTTGTTACTTTAATTTAATGATAAGTTTAGCTACAATAGTTGAACAAAAATAACTGACTAATCAATATTAATATTAACTAACATACTTATTTCTTTGGTTTGAAGAGGGAGTTTTTTGAAACTGAACAAGGAATATAGGACTTTAAAAGGGTATTAAACTGCTTTCTTCCTTATTTTCTCGTTTAGTTTATAATTGTGTATATTATAATTAGCACAGCCGTTTTGATCCTATAAATCTAGACTTCCTGAAGTCATTTTCCTATATAGGTTCTAATTATATTTAATTTCCTTATTTCTTAATTCTTTCATTATTTTATCTAATACTTTTTCTTACAAAATAGTCTAGAGTTAAGGTTAAGGTTAAGGAGTTAAGACCAACTGTTGTGACTGCTGCTAAATCTCTATAATTCTATCCTTTTCCTATTTGACGTAGTTTATCATCAGTTAGCAAACCCAGTTCAATGGCGGAAGTCGTATCCGTAAAACCCTTATCAATATGGAAAGTTCTTCATTTCTTCAAAAAAAAAAACTTTCATGACAAGAATGTGTGGTTTAAAAAATATCGAAAAAATTCTTTTTTCGCCACTTTCATAACCAAAGAGCAATGGGAAAACAAGCAACCATCCATCCAACCATCGATTCATCCATCTATCCAAGAGGTGGTCCGCACCTGAGATTCCAATCTTATTGCCAGGATGGCCTCGGGCCATCAAGATGCTCAGATATTTTGGCTTCCCCGGATACTTGGATACTTGGTGAGATACTTGTAGGTACAGATACATTTACAGATACATTTGCAGATACATTTTTAGATACATTTGCAAATACATTTACAGATACATTAAAGATAAATTTACAGATACATTTGCAGATACATTTACAGATACATTTGCAGATACATTTACTGATACATTTGCAAATACATTTACAGATACATTTACAGATACATTAACAGATACTGAACGGATATAGATACATTTACAGATACAGATTCTGTACAGATACAGATACATTTACAGATACAGATACATGCGTGTACTGCTGCCTTAGATTCACCAAAATCGAATGGTATCGAATGGTATCCAATATCTGAATGATCAGGTGAGAGGTGTGGCGAGGGCCTTGGACTGGTTCCATCGAAGAATCTTTTTTTCGGACTCCGGCTAATTGACTTTCAATGTTGTTTTTATTTTTCGTTTCGTTTCGTTTAATTTTACTTTACTTGAGAGCGTTGTCGAGGCGAGAAAGTGAAATTGATAGGCAGACAAGTGGCTTTCGGTTATGGAGGAGGAGATGTGGCTTAAATCCCAGGGAGGTGGAGGAGGTTTCAAGAGGGGGACTTTAAGCCGGAATGGGGATTCTTAAGAAACGCTTTCTAAGTCCCAAAGCATGACTCTGCTGAGAGGAGAACTCCGGGAAGAAATCCATCCTAAATATTTTATAATCTTTATACAAAAGTTTTAAAATATTTATTAAAGTGTTTCCTTGTAAAGTTTCTGTTAAATAATTTAAGTAAAAATAGATTATTTAATAGAAACTTTAGAAAATATACAACATCAAAAACTAAAACATTATTTAAATACTCAATTCTTATACCCTCTGAGTAGTATCTTTTATCAAGTTTCTGTTGAATAAATTGGTTGATATAAACTTAATAAATATTATTCATTTATTCAGTATTTTTGATCAATTTTCTGTTAATTAAATGTTGTGAAAATAAATTTGAAGCTTAAGAAAAAATACTGAAACATTATTTAGATACTCAATTCTTCTACTTTCAGAAGAGTATCTTTTATCAAGTTTCTGTTAATGATAAAAGTGATAAAAAATTGATTAATATAAAGAAAATATTATTTATTTATTTAGTATTTCTTCTCAATTTTCTCTTAATTAATTTAAGTGGAAATAAATTATTTATTAGATCAAATAATATGATTGATAATATGATGAAAAAATTATGATTCACATACTCAATTCTTCTACTTTCTTCTGAGTATTTTAATCATTTTAATATACTTCTTGTATTGTTTTCATATAGTTCATATAATTCAAATTGTTCAGTTAGATATATATTTAAAGATTTCAAGCAATTTTTCTCAGTGCAGCATCCGTAACCCAATTCTTCTCCCTTGGGTGGCGGCAACTCTTCTCTCTCGATATTTTCCACACCCACAGCGTACAAAAAGTTGCGGCAAAAAGTGTCTTCTCATGGCTTAATGGCAGTCGTTGCTACTGTTTGCTGCGACTGATGCTGCTGCTGTTGCTACTGCCACATGTTGCAGTTGCACTTTGTTTTTGCTGGCGGCGTTTTCACTTTGTTCGAGATCTGGCACTAAGGCCCTCTGAACGCTGGACAAATGGCCGAAAGGTTACTACCGTACATCACACTCGAAAAATAGTTACTAATTATAATAAAAAATATATTTTCGTAGGTAAAAAAGTTTTTAAAAGACAGCTTAAAAGTTCCTTGCATAACATAATTATAATAACATGAATATATTGTATACCTTATTCATGTTCTATACGTAAAAATTAAATATTTCAATGTCTATAATACATTTTAAATGGTCTCTTCTAAATACATTACTCTATTATATTTGTTTCTATATAAATATAAAGTAAAGCTTAAAGTTCGATTTATAAATAGGTTTTCGCTTTAAGCATAGATCAAATCTTGATACATAACTATTTTTTGTCATTACCAAAACTAAGGCTTTGAAAGACCTCATATAATGTCACCAAATTTGCCTCTTTAAATATTAAAAAAAATGGTGTATCTATCTTTAGAAATATTATTCATTTTTTTTAGTTACTTATTAAATTATATAAACATTTTTTCCAGTGCAAGAAGAGACTGCAACTACTGCTATAACGACGGATGACAAACGCAGGCAGTTTGCCGGCGATGATGAAGTGTCAATGCAATGAAAACTAAACCAATAAATTGTGAGAGCGACCCAAATAGTTGGCTAGAAAACCGGCGTGGCGAAGAGGATTTTCATTCGTTACCGGAGACGGAGTCGGAGTCGGGAATGGGAGTCCGGAATTGTGAGTTCCAGAGTTCAAAAACCGGAGAGAACTATACCATCCCGATGGACACGGAACATTTGGTCAGTGAAGTCTTCCCCATTCCTCTATCTTGGTTATAACCAACTTCCCACCTTTATTTTTTTCTTCTTTTTCTTAAAAGTTGTGAGAAATTGAAGCGCAATTCAAGTCGACGGACGGATGGTGAAAGTAACAAGATACTTTTAATAAGACATCTTGCAATGCCGCTTAAGAGATGCGTGAGGCGTGCGACAAAAGTTGTGAAGAGTCTTCGCAGCCCTTTTCCCGGAGAGATCTTCATACTTCACTCTTGAAACTCCATTCCTCATCCTGTATCCTACAATTTGCAGTATTAGCCAAGCCTGGCTCATGCAAAATCCGCCCATAATTGACCAAGTTAGCAGACAAAGTCGAAACCCCTGAAAGCCAACTCCAACTTGGACTCCCGACTCCGACACCGATGGCCGGGCAGACTGGCTGGCGCGTGTTACTTAATGTGCTTAATGTGCTCCCCCCAAAAAGAGGAAAAAATAACCAATAGACGGACCATCGGATCGAACCGATTGAGTTGGCCTGGCCAGCTTTCTGGCGGAACCGGAGCGCAGCTCCTTAGCCATCATACATACAACACATATAACCAAGTTGGAGCTCCAAGTCTAGTCGCGATCGAAATTACTCCAATTTCGAAACGAGTCTTTTGGTCATATTTAGCAAACAGGAATTGGCCAAGAGAGAGAGAGAGAGAGAGAGAGATAGAGATGGCCATGGCCAAGACCACGATCATGGCCATGGATACGGTGGCGGCGCCCCTAACAACAACAAAAAAAAAACACTCAAAACTGCAAAGTGGAATTGAAATGGCGATGAAATACACCACCATGCACAGTGAGTTTGTTAAAAAAATATATAATATTATATTTAAACATATGTTTATAAATATTTAGCAAAGCCATGAAGATAAAGTGGGTATTAATTAATTAAAGCTAACAAAGAATTGAAGGTTTTGAGGGGCTTCTTTAAAAAACATTGATATTAAATTCCAGTTCTTACCAGCTGATTTATTAAACTTCTATTTTATTAACTATAATAAATTACTATAAATAATTAGATATTGAGAATGTTGTGTATTATTTAATATAGATATTTTTTCACCACAAGTTGATAATGAAACACAACAAAAATATTTCGATAGATCACTATAAATATGCAGATCTTTGTATCGATTAAAAGAATGTATCTATCGAGATTTTATTGATAGTACAATATTTTAAGTATTATATATTTCGAGATTTCATTGAGAGGAAAACATTTTAATAGATATTTGTATATAAATTTTCTATAAATAATTGCAAGAAAACTTGAGGGAGCTTATGCATAAATTGATATTTATACCCTTGGTATTCTACTTTCAGTCAGAAGCTTAAAAGAAAGTGGAGGAATCATTCCCGATCCTATAAACCATATATATTCTTGATCGGCATCAACAGGGGAATCTTTTTAGCTATCTTTGGCAGAAAAATTTTTTTTCCGAAAATTTTCAAATTTTTTTTCAAAAAAAGGGAAGGGGTTACATCGTTAAAATGTTAAAAAATTTGAATTTTTTTAATTTTAGATTGAGTATGCAGATTTATTAATCTAATAAAAACTAATATCAGACAGCTTTCCGAATTAAAATTAATACATTTTTGGTTGAGTTATGCATTTTTTAAAAATAGATTTTTTCTAAAAATTTCCATATGAAAATATCGAAAAATAAAGATTTAAAGAATGCAAATATATTTTTGGGTTGATTTTCGATTAAATCCTATAATTCAGTTTTTAACTGCAAGTGTATATAAACTTTGGCTTCCGGAAGTTATAAGCCAGTTATAATTCCCATAAATATAGAATTTTAAATTGCAGAGTCTCTTCCTTTGTATTATTGTATTTATATCATATAGCATATCACACTTCTTATTATTATAAAGTATTTGGTATCTCAGGACCTTTTGAAGCTAGAACCATAAGATTTGGTATGTGGGTATCTTGGTTATAACTCATTCGAAATAATCTTAATTATTTTTGTCATTGTACTAGATTTTTGTAAAAAATTTTAAAAATACTACAAGAGAGTATATAAAGCTCCTCAGAGAACATCTAGTGCCCCACTGTGCATCAGGTGGCATCAGGTTGCCAGTTGCAAGTTGCTCATCCTATTATTTCAACCAGATCAAGTGCAGCCGTGTTTGTTTTTCTTGTAGCTTCATTTTATATATATATATATATTATTTTTTGTGCTGCCTCTTGGCCAATGCCAAATGTGGCACTTGGCAAAAATATTTTATGGAAAAGTGGAACAGTCGATGAAACATTACAGGCCACAGGCTGCATAAATAACAATAAAAATAATCTAAATAAAGGTGCGATATCTCCTGGCTTTTGTCACCTTCTACCCCCTTTTGGGCTATGGAGATATCCTTGTAGTGTTTTTCCTTCTTATTTTATTTTATTTTTTGAAGAGTCGCCACGCAACGTGTGGCAATCAAAGGGCGCCCACACCCATTTCTTGATTACTTGCCGCATCAAAATCAACAAACAATTGGAGCATGGGGCAGTGGCAGTGGCAATGTGGCGATCGGTGGCACAGTCAGTGGAGGGGGTGAGGGAATAGAAAGTGCAAACAGTTAGAGGACTTGTCCCCATGCAATTGTCGTCGTCGTCGTCGTCTGCTTCTGTAACCCATTGCAACTGAAAGTTGAAGCTGCTGCCCAGTATAAACAAACAGAGGACTGGGGAAACCGACAACAAGCGAGCAACTAGCAACTAGCAGCCGACGACGACGCATGCCACAAAGAGTACTACACTGAGAGAAAAGCATTGTGGCATTGACCAAGAAGCACTAATTAGTTTAGAGAAGCTGCTAAAATTGTATGTTGGTTAGCGACGTGAGATACGTATGGTTCAGGAAAGATACAATAAATCACTTATGATACATTGGAAGGTTTAATTAAGGTTTAATTTATCGAAATTTCAAATATACTATAATATAAAATATTTTACAAATAATATTTTGGTAAAATATCGATATAGTGTTACTTAATTGGTTCAATTCGTACATTTTAACATTTTAAACTGGTACTTTTTTACCTCATATTTTAATTTATCGAAATTATATAATTTCGAAAATACTGAAAGGTTTAATTTTTTGAAATTTCAAATATCAAATAATATTCGCTTGCAGGGTGTCACTGGATCATGATATCGAATGAGTAAATTCATCATAACTAAGCCAAAAATGCATTAATTTCTATTCAGAAAGCTGTTCTATGTTAGTTTTTATAAGGATAATAAATCTGCATACTCAGATTGAAATTTAAACCCTTTTCAAATTTTGACAATTTTAACGATGTAAACCCTTTCCTTTTTTTGAACAAAAATTTACATTTAAAAAAAAAAATTTTTTTTCTCCCGGAGATGGCTAGAAAGATTCGCCTGTTGATGCTGATCAAGAATATATATGATTTATGAGGTCGAAAATGACTCCATCACTGAGTTTTAAGCTTCTGACTGACATTAGAATACCCTGCAAGATTATACAATTAAATCCATAATACTTATTTTAAAAATAATACTAATGAATGTGTTGTAATGAACAGAAATCCCTTCTAGTTTCTTCAGGTGTAGCAGCAATATCAGACAGTCAGAAAATACCAAAAAAGAAAAAAACATCAGCAATATCGGTCTGCAAACCGGCGAGCCGCACTTGAACAAGTCGTACTTGGCATTGCTTTTTTGGACCTGGCTTTAAGCCTCGTCTTTGGCTCTGGCGCTGGCTTTGGCTTTGGCTTTGGCCGACTGCCTCAGTGAGGAGGGAGGCCTTCTTTCAATGAAAAGAAAGAAGAAATTTCGCTGCTGCTGCGACTGCTGCTGCGCATGCGAAGTGTTCCGCTGCGAGAAAGCAGGTGTCTGCAGCATTCGGCGCTAAACCACGGCGCGGACCAGACGCGTTTTTCTCTCTCTCTTCGATCGATCCTCGGAGGCGAATCGTTCTTCGTTTAATAAACACTAAATAAATAAATACAAAAAAAAAAAAAAATACAACAAAACATATATAATAATATAAAAAAGGAGGAAGAAAATAAAATAAAAAACGCTAAGCGAATCCCGAGCAAAACAAAAACATAAAAATACTAAAACATTTGTTGCGAAAAAAGCGGCGCAAAGAAAGGAGAAATTAAAGAACCGCTCGTCCGCTCGCAGCGGCTGCTGGCCAAGTGATCATCATCAACGCTTTTTTTTGTGTCCTTTTTTTGCAGTTGGTATTTTTTTTTTTAATTTTTTTGATTCACCGCCTGCCTGTCTTTGTGTGTGTGTGTGTTTATGTGTGCTCCACTTGCGATCGATAATTGTTGACCGCGTGCAAAAACGCCCCACCGTACCCCCCGTCAAATCATACCCTATACCCCGGCAACAAAGTGCAACAACTTTAACGGCCAAGGCGGCCACCGTTATTGCCAAGCAACTGTTTTCGAAAGTTGCCGCAACGCAGCAAAAGCAGAAAAGCAGAAGCAGATCCAAAACGCAGCAAAAGCAGAAGCAAGACGCATCCTGTTGGAATTGAAGGCGGAGCTGGAAGTAGGACGAAGCAAGTGGAACAAAGGAATCGGGCCAGGAGACAAGCGGTAAGTGGCTATTATACCGTTACACGGAAGTAGGATATAGGGAATGAGTGGGAAAGGGATATAGCAACATATTCGATAAGGAAGTTTGACTTTAGATTAGTCCTATCACTTCCGGTTTTAATTCTTCCTTACAGTTTAAAATATTTTTAACAGTCTGTACTTTATAACAAACTTAATCTTCATTGATCTTTCTATAACAATCTGCCATTATTTGAAAGAATTCAACCTAATAGGATAAGGATTTTTAAAGGATATTAGATTCACGAATTTATAATCATTTATTTAGTTATCACTTTTGAATCATTCCACAAGTTTCAGTGTTAACTTCCTGTTCTAATTTCGATCAAGCCTTACTGGTATCTCCCTCTTCTATATTTAAGCTACATTACATAAAAATAAGCTTCCTTTTCTATTTTCAATCAGTTTTTCAATTCTATTCTTCTTCGTTTGGATTCTAGAGAAATTAAAAGGCTGACCCGTACCCCTTCTTCTATATTTAGGTTATTTATAATAATTTATAATTTAATGTAAATTTAATTACAATCAATTAAAACCGTTTGGGTCAAACAAATTTATTAAAATAATTCATAAAGTTAAGAAGGAAAACTAAAGGAGAAGAGACTTATTAAATTCTACTTTTCTATTTGTTCTGAACCTAATCTTTTTATTAAGAATATTCTCAAGATCCCAAGATTGTAAGTAAGCTTTACTCTAAACCCGTTCAAGGTCACAAGGAAGTTGAATTCTTTCAGAAGATTCGCTGATTCTTCTGACTTTCCTCACTCTCTCTTTCCATGGCTTTTACTCACACCTTAGAGTAAGCCTGGCCTGTTGCCTTGGACAATGCCTTAGGCCTTCTAATTGGTCAACTGAGAGCATTCATGTTTGTCTGGGCCCAAGATGACCCACTTCACTTATGGGGAAACCTATTAACACTTTTCACCTCTCACCCCGTCCCCAGTCTCAACCATCCAATTTAAAAAGTCAAGTGAGTTGTCATTAAACAGATTCTTTTCTTTCTTGACTTGTCGGAGCTTCCCTTTTCTTTTCTTTATTTAATTTTTATTTTCTTGTATTTTGCTTTCTTCTGTGCTTTGCTTTTTGACAGTAGACAGTAGTGGGTGGGGGAAGAGTTGGTAAGAGCAGCATTACGGATAAAGTCAATCAATCATCGTTGATGTGACTGAGAAATTGCTAATAAATTGCAATTAGCGGGAAACACTTTCATAGCTGGTTACCATAATAGTAATAATAATAATATATATTTATAATGGTCAGAAGAAGAAAATAAAAGCGAAAAGCACTTTCTTCGCATTAGCGTTCTTCTCTTCCGACCCCCACAACAAAATGACAACACACTTATTAATTTTGTGGAGAAATGTGTTAAGATAATGGTGTTATCTATCTTATTATATTTTCTGTTTACATTTCATTTATTTAAAAGCTTGCCAAAGCCAAGCTTGCTTGGGTCAGATACGTGGACATTGTTTATTTATGGAATTTCAATATTTTAATAATGTTTATAATGGAAAAAAGTAGTCCTTAATCGCTCTTAAAAATCATCTTAATAACGTCTCATTTTTGGAATATTTTAATTTAGTTCAAGTGTAAACAGTTTATAAATTATGGTATTTCTTTATTCCGTTCCCAATACTAATGATAAACCAATTAACTGTACAGAAAACCACTCGACAACAAGATGCAACATCAACGACAGCAGCAGCAGCAACAGCGGCCACATCAGCAGCAGCTGCAACAGCAACAAATACAACACAAGCTAGTGCGATGCAGAAATCTGCGAAGAAATGTAGAAATCGGTGCTAAGAAGATTTGGCTGCCGCTTATCATTTTCCTTTCACTGCAGGTGAGTTGAGACGATGCAAATAATTAAAATCAATTTAAGCCAAAAGCCGCAGACACAACAGCAGCTTATAAATAGATAATTCCCATTAGCGGCACCCGGCTTAAGCTTCCTTCTCTTTCTCGCTCTCTATCTCTATCTCTCTCTCGCTGTCTGCAGCAAGTGCATGAGTGTGCGTGTCTGAGCAAGTGAAAGAGCTCTGTGAGCTTGGAATGAAATGGAATGGCTTCGAGTGGAATGGAATGGGACGGGATGGGACGTGTAATTGGCATGGCCTCATTTCGCGCATCAATTGCCAAGTGTGTGTGTGTGTATGAGAGTGTGTGAGTGTTACATGTGCTCGTTTTAGTTCCTGGAAGCTTGGAATATCGCAGGCTCTCAGGGAAAGCATTGGACATTTCTGTAAAATGATCATTAATGGAAAGGATACCTAAAAACATAGATCAGGGCAGTTTTAGAAAACATATTTTCAATGGGTTTTAAAAACAAAATGGCACTTGCATAATTTTAATTTGTTTCAAATCTAGAAGAGGTTTCTTGAAAGGTTAGAACTTTAACTAATTACACGGAAATTAAGATTCTTTAATTTTCGTGTATAAGATTTAAATAAATTAAAGTTCTGGAATTCTTTCAACTTAATTAAAAAGGAAACTTTCTTCGGGAAGTCAAAGTTTATATACCCTTGCATTTTGTAAGTGAATTATAGGATCTTTTATAGCTAATCTTAAAATATTTATATTCTTTAAATCAATATTTATAGATATTTTCATAGACAATTTGTTCAATAAATTAAAATTTAAAAAACTCGTAACTGAGCCAAAAAGCCATTGATTTCAATTCGAAAAGTTTTCCTATGTTAGTTTTTATTAGATTAATAAATCTGCATACTCAATTTAAAATTAAAATATATTAAAATATATATTATAATATCCTGTTAGGGTTAAACAATAAATAAAAGTAGGTTTTAAAAACCTGAATTAATTTCAATTGTTTTTAAAGCATAGCAGAATATTACTTAATAGAATTTGGAGTTTAGTATTTTAATAGGTGAACAAGTTATTATTTTTCAATGGATTAAAATCTACAAAACTTTGCTAATATAAAAATGTATACATAATTTTAATAGTTCAAGAGAATTTATGTTTTTGTTTAGATTAGGTAACAAGTAAGTTCTTTGGTTATATGTTCATACATTTATGTATTTGTTTAGGTGGAGTTGCATTCCATTTCCATGTGCATCTTTCCATTTTCCCCCTCCTCTTCTTGGCCATCTTCAAAAGCCATCTCCGCATCCGCAGCGCATTCCTTTCTCTTTTTCGCCTTTTGGCACATATTAAAATTCCATCCATGTGCATCCATTTCTTGTTGTTGTTGTTTTGTTTTCCTTGGCCACTTTTGCCTAGGTAATATGAGATGGCCAACAGCAGCAGCAGCAGCAGTGCTCGTGACGTTAGAAAGTTATTTTTCTCGTCTTCTTCTATGGGCCATTCTGGGGCGATGACACAATTTAGCCTGGTCAAAATAAAAATAACAGAAAAAAATCCAAAAACAGAGACTGCAAAAATGCCAAAAAGCCAAGTTACCATTCCTTTTAACGAGCGGGAGCATGTGGCAGCTTCCTTTTCGCTTTCATCTTGGGTCGCATCGCACTGCCTGGCGTTCACCTTTGACCTCTTCAGTCTCCTTCTACCTTCCTCCCCCCGATTTTCCTCGATTTTCCACCAAGTGGCTGCCAAATTCCGATTCTCTGCTAATGTTTCACTTTCTCCCGATTTGGTGCGCTGCCAGTCAGACAGCATCTTCCAAAGGAAAAACTAAAGGAAAAACCATAAAAAAAAACCGGGAAAATGAGCCTAGCACATTCGGTCGAGGTCAAGATTGGCAACAACAGCCGGCATTTGTGCATAAAAATGCACCGAAAAATAATAAATATATCAAAAAATATATATTGTAAACTGTATCTTGAATATATATTTTTTAAGTGCAATTTATTTATTAGTATTTTACTTTTTCTTCAACGCACATTACTTAATTGTGTCACACTGATAACGATAAATATCTAATTTTTATTAGAAAAGTCCTTGAAACTGAACTCTATACTCTTCCTGGAAGTGAAATAATTATTCACGTTTATTAATTTTTCAAATTTTTATTTAATTTTTTCTCTCTGTGCATATCTGTCTACGGTCTTAACCCATTCGGTTTTCAGTCTTTAATTGCAATCATTAGTCGTAGGGGATTACAACGACTCCAAGAAGATAGCAGGGAACGGCGGGTAGAAACATGCTATTTAGAGAAGAAGTGGAAACAATGGAAAGAAGCGGGGAACGGGGGTAATGAAACACCTTCCTCCCTGGATAATAATTAGCAAACAGTGAAGCACAAACACATTTGGCACACATTTTAATTAACGCTGTTATCCGGGTGGTGATAAGAGAATGATTAATTTTAAATTCAAACAAAAAGGAAGCATTTAGGAACACTAAATACCTATACCATTGCAGTGAAAATTCATCATAAGTCGGTAAAAAATTCATTAATTTCGAATCGGAAAGCTTTCCTATGCTAATTTTTATTAGGTTAATAAATCTGCATACTCAGTTCAAATAAAAAAAAAAGGAAATTAAAATTTTGTTAAATATTTAACGATGTAGCCTCTTTCCTTTTTTATAGAAAAAATTAGAAATTTTGAGACAATTTTTTATTTCTGCAAGATATAGCTAGAAAGATTCGCCTGTTAATACTGATCAAGAATATATATGACTTATATGGTCGCAAATTACTCCTTCACGAAGTTTTAAGCTTCTGACTTAAATTATAATACCCTTTAATATAAAAATTTAATACAACTGCACATTCGTAAGACAGCTCTGAAATAATATATGAGATCTATATTTTTGATTATAAAAATTAAATAAATATTTCATATAGTCATATATTGTCATATTATAAATAAGAGTAAAGCAATAAAGTATATATGGATTTATTTTTAAATTCTTGTGACCCTATACTTCATGACTATTATAAATGTATTGTAAATATAAATTTAAAACAAATAAACTTACAATGCATAGTGTCTTGTACCTAATTAAATACAGAATTAATTCTAACATCAGTATACTTTATTAAAAATATTTTTATCCAATTATATACCTTAATATTCACAGTTTATGAAATGTATTTAAATATCTATGAGACGCATTTTCAAATATTAAAACTTGAAATTAAAGAATTTTGCTGATATATTATTAACCGACTTAATATCATATTTTTCGCTTTGTGTATTTTTGAGGAAATTGCATTAAATTGAAGCATCTAGAAGTGCTCGACTTTCATATATATTTTTATATACATATATTTTTGTTAGCCTTTTGGTATTCATGCCTGGTTTTTGCAGTTGCTCTAAATCACGTTTCCGCATGCAAATTTGATTTTAGAATTTTTTAGTGGCCGGTTTTTATTTGTATTTTTTTTTTTTGTAGCAGTGGGTTTGTGTATATATTTTTGGGTTTCGTGGGCAGCTCGTTTTTCGTTTGCCATTTTGTTGTTATTTTAGCTTTTTAGCATTTACAATTTTTGCCTTTTTGTTGTCAATCGTCTGCCGCATTTGCCACATCACTTTCTACCAAACAGGATTGGTTCAGGATGCCGCCGTTGCCGTTTGTCGTTGCAACATCCCAAGATCCCAGCTTGGTTACTTGGGCTACTCAAGATGCTCAGCTTTTCGCAGGTTTCTCAGTTTTCTCAGTTTTCTCAGCTTCCCAGTTGGCGGAGAAAGTTGTTTTTGGCGGAGCGGCACAGATTTGGAGGCTGCATCTCGCCATCTTCGCTGGGCATCTTCATCATGGGTATGGGTATGGGTATTGGGTATGGGTATTGGGTATTGGGTATGGGGTATGGGTATCTTGGCCATGATCGCCATGGCCATTGCCATCATCGTTCACCTGTCCCACCTGCTGCTGCTGCTGCTGATGCTTCTTACTGCCCCCTTTACCGCCCATTCATGCATTCGTCTAATTGCCTTGATAGCTCGGCAACTTGGCAACTTGGTAACTTGGCAACTTGGTAACTTGGCAACTTGGTAACTGAATCAGTCCAGCGGATCCAGCGGCGACAAGTACATGGAAAAAAAGCCATCGCTTTGGATCAAGATGTTTCTGAATGGCCTGGTAAAAATGAAGACCAGACCAAGTGAAGGACGCGAAAAAGAAAGTAATGTAGAAATTAATTAAGTTTATTAGCTGAGCTCTGGCACAGTGGCTTTATATATAGTTGTGTTCATATCAAACAAGGATATGTCCACTAGAAAGTGCAATATGGTCTTGGGAGCAAAAATTTAAATGGTTTATTTAGGAAATGGAAAATTTCCTCTTTTTTCTCTTTGAACATTTTATATATACATTCATTTAATTGTTATATTTTAAACTTGTATACATATATTTCATTCATTATTATTCATTTTCTATTAAGCCAGCTGTTTACATATAAGAATTTATCAATATTTTTATATGGCAATTTTTTCATCAAATCAAAAGTTTAAAAATTGCATAAGTCAGCCAAAAATGCATAAATTTCAATTCGGAAAGCTACTATGTGCTAGTTTTTAATAGGTTAATTAATCTGCATACTCAATTTTAGATGTACAAAAAATTAAATTTTTTAGCTAATTTTAACCCCTTTAATTTTTATAAAAAAATTGTACATTTTCGATTTTTTTTTTCTTTTTGCCGGAGATAGCTAGAAAGATTTGCCTATTGATGCTGATCAAGAATATATATGATTTATGGGGTCGGAACGGACTCCTTCACTTAGTTTTATGCTTTTGACTAAAATCTATAAAAGAAGAATTGGCTTGGCTTTAGTTTATTTTTCTTTGATTATTTTTAAAACTGATGAAGAGATTTAACTTATGGAGAAAGACATCTACACAAAGCAAAGAATTGCCTGTCCCTGGCTTTCTTCCCACCAATTCTTCAGGCTCTTATCAGACCAGATACAGATACAAATTCTTCAATATTTAGAGTCTGAAACTTGGACTGAATTGTCAGATCATCGTTCCGGCAATTCCGTTTCGATGTCGATCGCGATCTTAATCTGGGACTCTGGGTCTTCAGTCTTCAGTCTTCTGTCTCCAGTCTTCTGTAGTGTTCAGTTTCCATTTACCAGTTACCAGTTTCCAGTCTCCAAAGCCTCTTCCAGTCTGGGAGTCTGGTCTGGTCTGGTTCTAGCCTTGACATCGCCTTTTAAGGCAGGCGGATCTGCTTGGCAATTGGGTCGCCGCCTCTTGTGCCACATGTGGCATGCGGGGCAGTAAAAAAAGCGAAATTGTTGCAAGTTTTCCGCTCATTTTTTGTTGTTGTCTTCTCGCATTTCTTTTTAAAGTTTTCTTTTGCTGCTGGCACGTTTTTTTTATTCGCCTTATGCAATTGAGTTGCATGCCGCATCCGCCTCGCAACCTCCATTCCATGGAAGTCACTGCACACACACACACACACACACATACACATTCTCCGGGCTATATTTTCCACCTTAAATCATTGCATTCTCTCCACGCTTTTCTTCTGCTTTTGTCCCGGAATGGGGCCACAGGTCGCCCTCATCTGTGCGGACGATGTGGAGGTGGTGAAGGCCATTGCCGGTGGACCCGATGATGATCTTACCATTGCCCTGGGTGACCATGAGAATGAGCTGGATCAGATGGCCCAAGAGTCGGAGCAGGAACAGCAGCAACAACAGCAACAGCAGCAGCAACAGCAACAGCAGCAGCAACAGCAGCAGCAGCAACATGCCCAGCAGCAGCAGCAGCAGTTGCCGCCTCATCAGATTCAAATGCAATTGCCGCAATCGGTGCCCAAGGTGCAGGTTCATTACCAACACAACATGCCCCAGCCACCGCCAGGAGTCGGCCTCACCCTACGCAGTAAGTACAGGGATATACTCCTTGAAGGATATATACTCCTCCTTCGATTCGTTTGTTTCCAAAACAAATCAATTGATGTATTTGGCTTGTGCCACCATTTTTCACCCTTTCGATTTCCTAGGCAATCACCAGAACATACCACTGAGCTTTGGCCAGCCCTTTGGACCGCCACCGCCACCAGGTGCCCAGTTCTATAAGGGACCACCACCGCCGCCGCTCCAGCAACGTCCCCAGCCACCTCCGCCACAGGTTCAGATCCAGGTGCAGCCACAACAGACCCAGGGACAGGTGCAGGTCCAAAGCCAGGGTATGCAGCAGCAGCAGCAGATCCAGGTGCCTCAGGGTGACCTCAGTGTGGGCGGTTCCAGCCAGAACGAGATCTGGGCGGCACCTGTCCAGGACATGCCCAAGATCGTCTCACTGGATGTCAAGTGCGAGAAGAATGGCATGAAGGTGTTCGTGCAATTCGACAAACCCTTCAACGGCATCGTCTTCTCCAAGGGTCACTACAGCAACATGAACTGTGTCCACCTGCCCTCCGGTTTGGGACGCAGCTCCGCCAGCTTTGACATCGGTCTCCACGAATGCGGGACCGCTGGCAATACGGATAACTACAATCAGGGCTATGGTCATGATACGGCGGGCAGCACGGGCGCTGGTACATATTTCGAGAATATCATTGTCATCCAGTATGATCCTCAGGTCCAGGAGGTGTGGGATCAGGCGAGGAAGCTCCGATGCACGTGGCATGATCAGTACGAGAAGAGTGTCACCTTTAGGCCATTCCCCGTCGATATGTTGGATGTGGTGAGGGCAGATTTCGCGGGCGACAATGTCGGCTGCTGGATGCAAATCCAGGTGGGCAAGGGACCGTGGGCCTCCGAGGTCTCTGGCCTGGTGAAGATCGGCCAAACGATGACCATGGTGCTGGCCATCAAGGATGATGACTCCAAGTTCGATATGCTGGTGAGGAATTGTGTTGCGCATGATGGTAAGCGAGCTCCAATCCAACTGGTGGATCAACGCGGCTGTGTCACCCGGCCCAAGCTCATGTCCCGGTTCACCAAGATCAAGAACTTTGGGGCCTCCGCTTCGGTGTTGTCGTACGCTCACTTCCAGGCCTTCAAGTTCCCCGACTCCATGGAGGTGCATTTCCAGTGCACCATCCAGATCTGTCGCTACCACTGCCCGGAGCAGTGCTCGGCGGACTCGAATCTGGTGCAGGATGTCCATCACTTGCAGGTGGGACCGGAGTCGCAGTATGGTCCGCCGCCGCCTCAGCTACATGTGGATGCGTATCATGTGGCCGCCGGTGGTTCAATTGGCAAGCGGCGGGATGAGCGACGAGTGCAGCGACGGGCCAGATCGGTGGAGCCGCAGGTGGGCTTGAATAGGATCATCAAGGTGGTGTCATCCGGGGATCTAACCTTTGCCATCGATGAGCAACAGCCGCAGGGTATGACGAATGGCAGTAGCTCCTCCTCCCTATCCTCATCCTCGTCCAGCCCTCAAACGTTGGTCTTTCCCGTCCGCGAGGAGGGTCTCATTTGCATGACCACGCCGGGCTTTGCCATCACACTGATCGTGCTGCTGGGCATCCTGGTCACCTCCTGCCTCACCTCCGCCGTCCTCTATGTCCGTCTGCGTCCGTTCTCGTCCTTTGCCGGGGCCAGGAGCGCCAAGGAGCGAGCCGTTGCCTTCACGAATCCGCAGCTATCACCGCTGCCGGTCATCCAGCTGCCGACGCCATCGCCCTCGCTGCCGGCGGATGTCCAGGGTACGCTCTCCAAGAAGCGGGCGATGTCGTGAGCATAATGAATGCCCTTCTGACTGGCGACTGGAACTAAGGCCGGGTGGCGGTATTAGGGTGTGTGTTTAGCGGTAACTAGTGCGGGAAAAAGCGGGTTTTTTCCAGGAATTTTCATTCGGACAAAATGTTATATAGTTCTTGGTTTCCAAAAATCAATCTAATAGGAGAAAAACAAACTAATAGAGCCTTTTTAATGCCAAAAATAATGCTTGGCTAAAAGTTAGAAACCTTTTTTAAACACAACAATTAATTAACTTTGCTATATTTATTTTAAAGTCTTCTCAAATATTTAAAAAAGCATGAAATCCGATTATAGAATCACTCCTTCTTGTTAACAGTTACTCGCTACTGGCAAACCGTCAGGCCACTTCCGTTTCCGGCTTTAGGTACAGTTGTGTCTGCGTCTGCGGCTCTTAAATTTGTAGCGTACGCTTCGTTAGTATAATTTTTCATACAAAAATATTTAACATTAACTCAAGTCGTTAACTGGGTTCTTCCACTTGTACTCTCGCTCTTTCTGTCTTCTTGCCCCTTCTTCCGGTTCCGATTCTTCCAACTTTGCTTCTATCTCCATGTCTTTCTTTCTTCTGATTTCTCCCCTCTCCGGTGGCAGTCGTTAATCGATTATTTTTGTTTTAGTTTAAGTTTAGGTTCTATTTATTCTTTGCAAAACGGTGCTAAGCCATGATCAAGCCCATTACCATTATCCCTAAAACAATATTATATATCCATTATAATGCTCCATTCCCCCGCCCCGTCACTTGTAGCTTTCTTTTGTAGCAATTTGAGCTGATATATTCCATTACTTAGAGTATTTCTCGTAAGACTCTCTCTTAAGACTTTGTAGACACAAAACATAAATACACATTTACACTCATTTAACACCCAACAAGAACAACAACACACAAAGACACACACACATACAATATAAACTTGAATTAGTCACTAAATATTTTAAGCGCTTTAAGCCGTAGACTAAGCCGAATTCAAATCCAAATCTGTCTCTGTCAGCCATTTGCCCCGAGCACCTTTTGGATCTATTTAATAACAGTTAGTACGCCACTGTAGTCCACTTATTTATTTCCAACAATGATTTATAAATATATACGCATACATACCCGCACATACACATATACACCGCCTTATATATAATAAATATAAAATATATCATCCATTTTTTTTTTGTGTACTTTTGTAAGCTGAGCCAATCGAATGTGCGAGCAGAGAAGAGAAAGTGTTCAATAAATTGTTTACAATCCCTTAAAATCCTGATTTTCCTGTCTTTCAATATCCTTTTTAGGTAAACTTTGTTTGGATTTTGATCAAATTTAAAGTATACCATCGAATTTATCTATACTATCAGTTGTCGCCATATAAGATAACCGACAAAATTTAATTTTGATTTAAATAAACGGACCGTTGCCGCCATGCAACGAATACAAAATTTAAATACAATATGGCCGACTCTGTACTACTGTTAAGCCAAGATCTTCAGGTTCGAAACTCCGCTAACAATTTCCAATATTCAGTCTTTTTTTTTTGCAACAACAAAATTGATGTGCAACAACAACCAATCTACAAGCACATAATTCCAAACAAAGATAAGTTGCAGCCAAGTATTGTCAATTTCTGAATCTGAAGTAACAGGCGAACAGAAAACGCAGAAAACAGATTAATTTTAGTGCAAAAGCAAGAAATTAGAGTTGTCCTTTTAGCTCTATTGTATAGATCTCTAAATCTAGCTAAAAAATAGCTACTATGTCAACCCTAGATTGCGAAAACTTTTTCGTTCTCTAAATTTATCGATTTACAACAATCTGAACCAGCTCATTTTTCACTCCTTGTATATCGAAAGCTTTGACTATCGACTGCAGGCATGGAACCATATACGTCGTTGACATCCTACGTCTTGGGTTATGGTGAATGCACTCAGGAGCAGCAACAGGATCAGGATGAGTTGGATCATAACCAGGGCCTGCTGGTCACAGCCCGGCCGGCGGCAGTGCAGACCACTTGGCTCCTGCTGCCCATTGATGAGCTATCCAACACCCCCTCGATGATATCGTGATCAGCGCCAAGGAGGAGAGCCCTGATGACAGGCATTCTGATGACTCGTGCATCTCGGGCTCCTCACAGATTAACTAGAACCTCAAGGCCAAGCAGCAGCAGCAGTCACTCAAGCTGACCGCGATCACCCGCCAGGAGCAGCGTTACATTGGACCCAACTGCCTCAACATGACACCGGAGCCGCAGCAGCAGAAGCTTATCACCGCAGCTAAGCGGCCTGCCCCAGAACCGACAGTTTCCCTTCGGTGGTGCCTCTTCCAAGGGCGTGATGCAGCGGTTTATGGCTTCCCATGGCAAGGTGGGCAACATCAGCAATAGCAACACCCTCAAGATGAACACGCGCACGGCGTTGACCTTCCTGGAGAACGGCAACTCGCCAACGAGCATTAACACGGTCACCCCATCACCGCAGCCATCGAGAGGGACACGGAGGGCAGGCCATTACGTCAGGGCTATGTGCCCGTCGAGCACAAGATTCAGCAGGAGCTGCAGGACCCCAGGTCGCCGGAGAAGGATCTGAAGCGCCTGCGCAAGATTAAAAGGCAGATCACACTGAAGGCTTCGCTGGAAAAGCTGTGAGTACACGTCAAGCCTTTCAATAATCCTCTTATAATACGCTTTTTCGTTTCCAGCCAGCATAACACAGACGGCAAGGCCGATGCGGACGACGATGACGAAGAGGACTCTGCTATGGACCCGGAAAACTGCGACATGCCCAGTCCACCTAGGAGTTGGATAGAAATGGGCAAGTTTTAGATAACCTACTTAAAAAAGTTTTATTCTCATTGGATTTTCATTCTTATATCAACAGCAACGAACTGGAGAACGTCCACAAGCCCGCTGGCATTTGCAGCCTGAGTGCAGCCGCCTACATAGCCAATGGAGCCAGGAATGGCAGCACTAAGGCCCAGCTCTGTGATCTGTCGTCCAAGCAGACGCCCTCATCGCGAGGCCCCATTGCCCAGTGGGAAAGCTTGATCAAGAACCGTTTTACAGTGTGACCAACTCATTTGCCACGTCCTTATTTCTAAGTGTGCCCGCTTTGACTGTTCGCTGTTTGCCTGCAAGCATGTGCAACAGCGACGATCACCTGACATGGAACCCTGTGCAGCTTTTACATTTTACGTTTTGGGTTATGGTGAATGCACGCAGGAGCAGCCACAAGATCAGGATGAGCTGGATCAAGCCCAGGGCGAGGTGGCCACAGCCCGGCCGGCGGCAGTACAGACCACTGATGACCCGCATTCTGAGGACTCGTGCATCTCGGCCTCCCCACAGAGCAAGAACAACCTCCAGGCCAAGCAACAGCAGCAGCCTCTCAAGCTGACCGTGATCACCCGCCAGGAGCAGCGTTACATTGGACCCAACTGCCTCAACATGACATCGGAGCCGCGGCAGCATAAGCTTATCACCAGGATCATTTCCACTCCGCAGCTAAGCGGCCTGCCCCAGAATCGTTTTGGGTTATGGTGAATGCACTCAGGAGCAGCCACAGGATCAGGATGAGCTGGATCACGCCCTCGCTGACCTCTAGCGTGAGCAGCGCCAAGGAGGAGAGCCCTGGTGACCCGCATTCTGAGGACTCGTGCATCTCGGCCTCCCCACAGAGCAAGAACAACCTCAAGGCCAAGCAGCAGCAGCAGTCGCTCAAGCTGACCACGATCATCCGCCAGGAGCAGCGTTACATTGGACCCAACTGCCTCAACATGACACCGGAGCCGCCGCAGCATAAGCTTATCACCAGGATCATTTCCACTCCGCAGCTAAGCGGCCTGCCCCAGAATCGTTTTGGGTTATGGTGAATGCACTCAGGAGCAGCCACAGGATCAGGATGAGCTGGATCACGCCCTCGCTGACCTCTAGCGTGAGCAGCGCCAAGGAGGAGAGCCCTGGTGACCCGCATTCTGAGGACTCGTGCATCTCGGCCTCCCCACAGAGCAAGAACAACCTCAAGGCCAAGCAGCAGCAGCAGTCGCTCAAGCTGACCACGATCACCCGCCAGGAGCAGCGTTACATTGGACCCAACTGCCTCTACATGAGACCGGAGCCGCAGCAGCAGAAGCTTATCACCGCAGCTAAGCGGCCTGCCCCAGAATCGTTTTGGGTTATGGTGAATGCACTCAGGAGCAGCCACAGGATCAGGATGAGCTGGATCACGCCCTCGCTGACCTCTAGCGTGAGCAGCGCCAAGGAGGAGAGCCCTGGTGACCCGCATTCTGAGGACTCGTGCATCTCGGCCTCCCCACAGAGCAAGAACAACCTCAAGGCCAAGCAGCAGCAGCAGTCGCTCAAGCTGACCACGATCACCCGCCAGGAGCAGCGTTACATTGGACCCAACTGCCTCTACATGAGACCGGAGCCGCAGCAGCAGAAGCTTATCACCGCAGCTAAGCGGCCTGCCCCAGAATCGTTTTGGGTTATGGTGAATGCACTCAGGAGCAGCCACAGGATCAGGATGAGCTGGATCACGCCCTCGCTGACCTCTAGCGTGAGCAGCGCCAAGGAGGAGAGCCCTGGTGACCCGCATTCTGAGGACTCGTGCATCTCGGCCTCCCCACAGAGCAAGAACAACCTCCAGGCCAAGCAGCAGCAGCAGCCGCCCAAGCTGACCGTGATCACCCGCCAGGAGCAGCGTTACATTGGACCCAACTGCCTCTACATGAGACCGGAGCCGAAGCAGCAGAAGCTAATCACCGCAGCTAAGCGGCCTGCCCCAGAACCGACAGTTTCCCTTCGGTTGTGCCTCTTCCAAGGGCGTGATGCAGCGGTTTATGGCCTCCCATGGCAAGGTGGGCAACATCAGCAACAGCAACACCCTCAAGATGAACACGCGCACGGCGTTGACCTTCCTGGAGAACGGCAACTCGCCAACGAGCATTAACACGGTCACCCCATCACCGCAGCCATCGAGAGGGACACGGAGGGCAGGCCATTACGTCAGGGCTATGTGCCCGTCGAGCACAAGATTCAGCAGGAGCTGCAGGACCCCAGGTCGCCGGAGAAGGATCTGAAGCGCCTGCGCAAGATTAAAAGGCAGATCACACTGAAGGCTTCGCTGGAAAAGCTGTGAGTACACGTCAAGCCTTTCAATAATCCTCTTATAATATTACGCTTTTTCGTTTCCAGCCAGCATAACACAGACGACAAGGCCGATGCGGACGACGATGACGAAGAGGACTCTGCTATGGACCCGGAAAACTGCGACATGCCCAGTCCACCTAGGAGTTGGATAGAAATGGGCAAGTTTTAGATAACCTTACTTACAGCAACGAACTGGAGAACGTCCACAAGCCCGCTGGCATTTGCAGCCTGAGTGCAGCCGCCTACATAGCCAATGGAGCCAGGAATGGCAGCACTAAGGCCCAGCTCTGTGATCTGTCGTCCAAGCAGACGCCCTCATCGCGAGGCCCCATTGCCCAGTGGGAAAGCTTGATCAAGAACCGTTTTACAGTGTGACCAACTCATTTGCCACGTCCTTATTTCTAAGTGTGCCCGCTTTGACTGTTCGCTGTTTGCCTGCAAGCATGTGCAACAGCGACGATCACCTGACATGGAACCCTGTGCAGCTTTTACATTTTACGTTTTGGGTTATGGTGAATGCACGCAGGAGCAGCCACAAGATCAGGATGAGCTGGATCAAGCCCAGGGCGAGGTGGCCACAGCCCGGCCGGCGGCAGTACAGACCACTGATGACCCGCATTCTGAGGACTCGTGCATCTCGGCCTCCCCACAGAGCAAGAACAACCTCCAGGCCAAGCAGCAGCAGCAGCCGCCCAAGCTGACCGTGATCACCCGCCAGGAGCAGCGTTACATTGGACCCAACTGCCTCAACATGACACCGGAGCCGGCGCAGCAGAAGCTGGCCACCAGGACCATTTCCACTCCGCAGCTGATCGGCCTGCCCCAGAATCGTTTTGGGTTATGGGGAATGCACTCAGGAGCAGCCACAGGATCAGGATGAGCTGGATCAATCCCTCGCTGACCTCTAGCTTGAGCAGCGCCAAGGAGGAAGTCCTGGTGACCCGCATTCTGAGGACTCGTGCATCTCGGCCTCCCCACAGAGCAAGAACAACCTCCAGGCCAAGCAGCAGCAGCAGCCGCTCAAGCTGACCGTGATCACCCGCCAGGAGCAGCGTTACATTGGACCCAACTGCCTCAACATGACACCGGAGCCGGCGCAGCAGAAGCTGGCCACCAGGACCATTTCCACTCCGCAGCTGATCGGCCTGCCCCAGAATCGTTTTGGGTTATGGGGAATGCACTCAGGAGCAGCCACAGGATCAGGATGAGCTGGATCAATCCCTCGCTGACCTCTAGCTTGAGCAGCGCCAAGGAGGAAGTCCTGGTGACCCGCATTCTGAGGACTCGTGCATCTCGGCCTCCCCACAGAGCAAGAACAACCTCAAGGCCAAGCAGCAGCAGCAGTCGCTCAAGCTGACCACGATCACCCGCCAGGAGCAGCGTTACATTGGACCCAACTGCCTCTACATGAGACCGGAGCCGCAGCAGCAGAAGCTTATCACCGCAGCTAAGCGGCCTGCCCCAGAATCGTTTTGGGTTATGGTGAATGCACTCAGGAGCAGCCACAGGATCAGGATGAGCTGGATCACGCCCTCGCTGACCTCTAGCGTGAGCAGCGCCAAGGAGGAGAGCCCTGGTGACCCGCATTCTGAGGACTCGTGCATCTCGGCCTCCCCACAGAGCAAGAACAACCTCAAGGCCAAGCAGCAGCAGCAGTCGCTCAAGCTGACCACGATCAGCCGCCAGGAGCAGCGTTACATTGGACCCAACTGCCTCTACATGAGACCGGAGCCGCAGCAGCAGAAGCTTATCACCGCAGCTAAGCGGCCTGCCCCAGAATCGTTTTGGGTTATGGTGAATGCACTCAGGAGCAGCCACAGGATCAGGATGAGCTGGATCACGCCCTCGCTGACCTCTAGCGTGAGCAGCGCCAAGGAGGAGAGCCCTGGTGACCCGCATTCTGAGGACTCGTGCATCTCGGCCTCCCCACAGAGCAAGAACAACCTCCAGGCCAAGCAGCAGCAGCAGCCGCCCAAGCTGACCGTGATCACCCGCCAGGAGCAGCGTTACATTGGACCCAACTGCCTCTACATGAGACCGGAGCCGAAGCAGCAGAAGCTAATCACCGCAGCTAAGCGGCCTGCCCCAGAACCGACAGTTTCCCTTCGGTGGTGCCCCTTCCAAGGGCGTGATGCAGCGGTTGCAGCGGTGGGCAACATCAGCAACAGCAACACCCTCAAGATGAACACGCGCACGGCGTTGACCTTCCCGGAGAACGGCAACTCGCCAACGAGCATTAACACGGTCACCCCATCACCGCAGCCATCGAGAGGGACACGGAGGGCAGGCCATTACGTCAGGGCTATGTGCCCGTCGAGCACAAGATTCAGCAGGAGCTGCAGGACCCCAGGTCGCCGGAGAAGGATCTGAAGCGCCTGCGCAAGATTAAAAGGCAGATCACACTGAAGGCTTCGCTGGAAAAGCTGTGAGTACACGTCAAGCCTTTCAATAATCCTCTTATAATATTACGCTTTTTCGTTTCCAGCCAGCATAACACAGACGACAAGGCCGATGCGGACGACGATGACGAAGAGGACTCTGCTATGGACCCGGAAAACTGCGACATGCCCAGTCCACCTAGGAGTTGGATAGAAATGGGCAAGTTTTAGATAACCTACTTAAAAAAGTTTTATTCTCATTGGATTTTCATTCTTATATCAACAGCAACGAACTGGAGAACGTCCACAAGCCCGCTGGCATTTGCAGCCTGAGTGCAGCCGCCTACATAGCCAATGGAGCCAGGAATGGCAGCACTAAGGCCCAGCTCTGTGATCTGTCGTCCAAGCAGACGCCCTCATCGCGAGGCCCCATTGCCCAGTGGGAAAGCTTGATCAAGAACCGTTTTACAGTGTGACCAACTCATTTGCCACGTCCTTATTTCTAAGTGTGCCCGCTTTGACTGTTCGCTGTTTGCCTGCAA